GTTGACAAAAATATTCAAGTCTGATACCAAGTGAGTGAGTGAGAATGTGGAAAGATCTACATGAGTATACACGTATATACTGGGAAGAATGTGGGTTTGCACCACCACCTTAGAAAACAGTTTGGCACCAGCAAAGCTGATTTGCACAAACCCAATTCCACTTCTAGGGCTATCCCCAGGAAACATTCTTGTATCTGTCCACCAGGATTCATGGTCAAGAATGTTCACTGTGACTCTGTAACCGCCGTAGGTCTGTAACCACCAAATGTATGAGACGTTTAGAAGAGCCAATGGCTCTTCTCCCAAGTGCTCACCATGGCCTCCCTCCCTGTATGTCAAGGCATCCTTTTGAGTCTAGACTGTCCATAGTGATTCATTCGACCAATAAAATGTAGCAGAAGTGATGTCCCAAGATTTCTGAGAAAGGTCATAGAGGTTGGGGTTTGGAATGCTTGTTTCTGGAACAGTCAGTGTGGGGAGGAAGCCTGACTACCTTGAGCCCCCCATGCTGTGAGGAAGTCCATGTCATGGGGGAGACTGGAGATTCAGATGCCCGTTGGAGGAGGAACAGAGACAAGAGGAGAGAGACAGAGAGAGCTGGCAGAGTCCCACAGTGCAGACGTTGGGGTGAGGAAGCCGTCTTGCAGTGGGTCCTCCAGCTCCGACCCTGGGTCCAAAAGGAACCTCTTAGCCAAGCCCTGCCCCTGATTCCTGTCTCACAAAATTGTGAGCAAAATAGTTTCTGTAAGCCATTAAATTTGGGGATAGTTGGTTATATTAGTAATAGTAATAGATCAAATTACTACATAGCAAAGAAAATGAATAAACTACAGCTACGTGTAACAGTATCAATGAATTTTAGTGTTGATTGAAAAACAAGTCAGAAGAATACAGACTGTGTGACTCTGTTTATGTAAAGTCCAGATACATGCAAAAATAAAGTATTTATTGTCTAGGGATTCAAACATGTGGTAAATACAGAGAAAAGGAAGAGACTAAGAACAAAATGTAGGAAAGCGCCTGCCTCTGAGAGGACATGGGCGTGCAGGCGACGGCAAAGATGATGGCAACGTTCTTTTCCTTAACCTTCTGTATCGTGATATTTAATGTCTTATACATAGAAACATTCCTTTGTATCTCTTAATATTTAATTTAAAAAACCTTTAAACAATTTCTTACCATTGTTGTAAACAAGTTTCTCATAAAGATGGGAAAATACCTGCCTCTCCCACAAGACCTAACAGAAGTAGCTCAGATGGGGTGATCTTTGTGTCACTTGCCTTTCCGATGGGGTAGGAGTTGGGGTTGGGAGCTGTGTGTTGGGTGGGAGGTTCTCATTGGACTGGATACTGATAGGCAACCATGTGATGTGGCCGAAGCACCAAATGCCACATCACAGGTATGACTGGCTCTTCCTCCTGGCAGAGCAGCATAGCTCCTGCTCCTGGGGGCCAGTTTTCCCTGCCTCAGCCTTGGAACTTCCTGCCTGTGGCCCACTGGATGGTGGGAGCAAACCCAGGATGTGGACAGTCAAGCTGTTTTCTTGCCAGGAGAAGAATCGGCAGGACTGGGGTTTGAAGGCTGCATGGTCGCAGGTCACCAAGGGACAATCCACGCACAAGCTCCACCCTGACCTTGCTTGGACCCTCCAAAAAGGGATTGTTTCATTTGGCCTTGGAACCTCTCATTCTGGAACCTTCTGTCATAAAGGTCATTCTTGGGGCTCAAACCACTGACCACAGCTGTGCATCTTTAGGCCGTAGCTCAGGTTGGACTTCTCTCCCTGGTGGCCGTTGGTTTCCTGGCAGCTGCCAGGCCGGACATCTCACAGTTGCTGACTGTGAGGCAGGGCAGTGTCCTGACTCTTCTTGTCCAGTGTAGGGAGGCCACTGACTACTCAGCAGGGTCATGGCCCACATCTGCAGCCACCCACACCAGCGGGCGCTGGTGCACCCCACAGGCCTGGGGACAACCATACTCTTGGACCTGCCCTAAGGCCTCAATTTCCACAGGAGCATCTGAAATCCCAGTTGGGCTCCAGGACCAGAGAAGTCCATGGTATTATGTGTCAGTGCCAAGTTCAGGGGAAGTTGGGATCCGGCAGTGAAGTAAGTGATCTGTGGGAAGAGTTTCTAGCAGTCAGAAAATGCTGATGCTGATGAAATCATGTTATGTGAGAAATCAGGGTGCATAGTGAACTTGGGATGTCATCTCAACCATTACAAATGCATAGAGAAAGTAAGTAAAGCAGTGAAACATATAAATGTCCATAATGCTGACCTGGGGGTTGGTGTTGGGGTTATTTTATTCTTTAATCTCAAAGTCTTAATTTTTAATTAAACACGACCGCAGGTGTGAGAGCGCCTGGCAGGTGCCCAGTAAATAAATAATAGTTGCATCTGCACCGGAGGCCATGCTGTGCTGCCCTCCTCGCAGCTCCTTGTCCGGCCGTCCGCTCCTCCTTCCTGTAACATGCGCATGTACCGTGAGCCCATCTCAGCGGGGACATAGCTAATGAGGCCTTCGCTCTTAAGAACACATCTGTATGTCTGAGGTACAGTTTTTAAAGTAAACTCCAGATATATGAGATCTGTCTGGAAAAAGCCCAGCCATTGTTAATATAATGAGAACAGTTTACGCAGCATCGATGTAACCTGGCAGCCAAGGAGAGTTGACTGGATTGGACATGTGTGAACATTATGACAATTTCACTGTACCAGTCAGTAGTGGTGGTGGATTCTATTGAATGAGCATGTGTACTGTGTGGCTGTTGCGTTCAAAATGAGTGAGTAGAGCAATGAATCTGCATCAAATTTTGCATTAAGCTTGAACGTTCTTCTATGGAAACTATTCGGATGATTCAGAAGGCTATTCAGATGAATGGAAGACTGCAGCTATGGGCAACTGGTGATTGGCAGCTTCATCACAACAACGTTCCTACTCATGCATCATCTTGTGCAGTTTTTTGGCAAAACGTCAAATCACCCAGGTGACTCAGCCCCTCTACAGCCCAGATTTGGCACCCTGTGACTTCTGGCTTTTCCCAAAACTAAAATCACCTTTGAAAGGGAAGAGATTTCAGACCGTTGATGAGATTCAGGAAAATATGACGAGGGCAGCTGATGGCGATTGGGAGAACTGTGTGAGGTTCCAAGGTACCTACTTTGAAGGGAACTGAAGTGTCATTGTCCTATGTACAATGTTTCTTGTATCTTGTATCTTCTTCAATAAACATCTCTATTTTTCATTTTACATGGATGGATACCTTCTGGACAGACCTCGTATAAAATATTAAATACTTTTTAAACCTCAACTCTTAGGAAAATTAAATAAAAGAAATGTGAAAGGCAACCTCTGGTAAGATATCAAGTTCAAAGTTTTAAGGCAGTAAAAGAGGTCACCAAAAAATCCAAGAAATGCATCTTGTATAAAATGTAACCTTCTGTAGAGAGGAAAAGAACATAACTAAACTATAAAACAAATGAACTGGGAATAATACACGCAGTAGTAGACACATTACAGGAACATTGGTTAATAGTGAGTGCCGAAAATTAACTTTTTTTTTAAAAAAACCCATGGTAACTCATAAGGCAAAAACAAGACAACAACAGGAGCCCAAAAATACATATAGAAAATCTACAGAAAACAAACATCAAAAAAAGGTTGACTTCATTATCACATAAATGTGTACACACTGATTTAGAAAATGACTTCTTAATGCAAAGCCCGATGCTGCTGAATCATGGCCAACCTGTCACAGTGGCACTGCTGACAGCGTGTCCCCTTTCCTGGCAAATTGGCCGTAGGGCCAAGACTCGTAAAGGACACTCATAACCTTTGACCCTGTAATCCTAACCCCAGACACATGTCCTAAAATGATCATTTAAGGGAAAAAGAAACCGTATCTTGAAAATCTTCCTTGTATTTATTGTTTATAACAGGAAAAGTTAGAAGCACTGTAGATTTACAACACCAGAGGAACAGTTACGTCTCCATCAAGCTGGTAAATATGAGCGAGTGACGCAGGGAAACGTTTGCTAAGGCAGACAAGAATGCCAAACTATACCTACATTACAGTTTAGAAAACTTATTTCCTATATGAGTAAGGCCAAAGAAAAGTTTAAAATCTCTTAAGATATATTGGGTTGAGTTTTTCTTTTCTGTTTATTTTCTCTTATTGTAATAATGTGTGTGCAGTACGTCGGTGCTGGGATGGGGAAATGTAAGTTGCAAAGCAAAAAATATTGAAGCTAAACTTGGTCTGTAGGATGTGATTTCAAGTTAGAACATGTAGCTGCAGCTTCTGACCTACCAGCGCCGCGCCCCCCCCCCCTTGTTCCCTATCTGGCAGGCACTCTCATGCCTCATGAAGACACGGCCCATGTTTGGCTGTGTCTCATCCATCCTGAAGCTGAAACCTTTCCTAGAGCAAGTTCTTTTCAAAGAGCGCTTAAGAACTCTCCCAGGGACCTACAGCTTGGGTGTAAAGTTCATTGACTCCTTAATAAGTAGAAACTGCCTGTTGCATTGGATGGGAGTTTGCAGCCAATGTTGTTGGTGAACTGCCCTGATCCCACATTTTCTCACTGTGTCCCCACCCTGTGATTCCAGGAGCCATGCTCTTTGAGGGGAGTGCCAGTGGGCGTCCAGAAGCCCCTGGAGGTTAGAGCGAGGGCAGGGCTGGAGAGGCTAGAGTGTGCAAGCCCGGGTGGGGACAATTCCCTAGGAGTCACTCCCTGCAGAATCCCCATGGGTCTGGCTGCATGAGACTGTGCCTGGACTGGCTTCCTCCCTTCCTGTCCCGTTGCCTACGCTCCCCCAGCCTCCCAGAAGGAGCTATAAAAGTGCAGTTTTGACTGCACTGAATCAAAAAGAAACCCACACATTTGTTCTGAGGCGCAGCGGGAGCATCTCGTCTCTCACTCTCCCTGCTGGGTGGAGACCAGGGGTCCTGACAGGTTCCATGCCAGCTGCTAACCTCCCTCCCTTTCTTGTCCCAGGCCAGGTACACAGGCCTCATCTTCTTCCATGAAGGTTGGCCACTGTGCATCCACGGGAAGGTGGTGGTGCAGTTGGCGTCCCTCCGTGGAGTCAGGCTCAGGCCCGGGGACTTCTACCTGCAGGTCACATCGGTGGGGAAGCAGTCGGCCAGACTGGTCTTAAAATGCCTCTCTCAGCTAGGAAGAGGCTCAGAGGAAGTCGCTGTGCCTGAGGCCATGTATGGCTGTGTCTTCACAGGAGAGTTCCTGGACCAGGTGAACAGGGAACGCAGCAGTGCCCTCTTGAAAAACTGCTTGCTGACCTCAGGCTCTACCGTCTATCGCACCCCATGGAGTAACGTCACAGTTCCCGTGTTTGTACCCACCAGCGGAAGAGCACTGACCAGCCGCTCCAGCCATCCCGGGCCTGAGCAGCCACCAGGCAGCGCCTCGGAGGCCCCAGCCCTGGCACCAGCCATGGCCAGCCCCTGTCTGCAGGAGAGCACCTCTTCCAGCAACACTGCAACCCTACCTCCCTGTGCTGGGCATCCCGGCAGTGACCAGCCCAGCCACCTTGCTTACGTGAGAAGAGCTGAGTGCGAAAGCCCCAGGACCCTGCCCAGGAGCTCTGGCGTGGGCCCGCGGGAGCCATCTGAGAGCCTTGAAGGACCGGGAGGGAAGCTGGACCCCATGGACAAGAAGGATGGCCCCCAGGCCCTTACGTCTCCCGAGGACACAGACAGCCCAAGAAAGCGGCCACCTGAGGTCCCCGCTGCCATGGAAACCAGACGCTGGTTCAGGAAGTCCTACATGGAGGCCCTTCGGAACCCCATGCCCCTGGGCTCCAGCTCTGAGGAGTCCCTGGTGGATGAGGCCTCCAGCACCCAGAGCAAGAGGTCAGGGGCAGTGGCCAGCCCGACCCAGAAAGGAACCCCTGGCCCCCAGGGAGACTCCCAGGGGATCTGGAGTCAGGGGAGCTGTCCAGGAACTGCTGGGAGGACCCTTACCAGGAGGTCTAGGTCCTTGGACAGGTCTCTCAGGAGCGTGCAAGGTGATGTCCAGCAGGCCTCCCCTCATTCGTCCTGCGCTGGACCCAGAGGTCTTCTAGGAGGACAAGCTGTGGGGACCAGAAACTTGCACTCCAGCCAGCCTTCTGTCTGTACCACAGAGAAAGGTAAATGTCTCCTCTCCCCTCCCCTCTTCCCCCACCATCCCCTTTCTCCCTCAACTTCCTCTCCTCCCCCCTCCCACCCTGTCCCATTTGGTCTGATCACTTTGTTTAGTAGAAGCTTGTCTCCATATCCATCTTGACTGTTGAAAATAATGCTCACATGTGTTCCTTTCCTATGGCTGCTGCACAAAGTACCACGAACCTGGCAGCTCAGAACAATAGAAGTACATCTTTTCACAGTTGGGAGGCCAGAAGCCTGACCTCGCAGTGCCATGTGCTCTAAGTGAAGGTCTGCCCAGCCTCTCCAGCTGCGGGGGCTCCAGGCACTCCCGGGTTTGGGGCCACACGTCTGGCCCTCCTCCCTGTCTGTCTCTCCATGCCTCAACCTCTCTGTCCTTCCTCTTATGAGGACACCTGTCGCTGGATTTAGGGCCTACCCTAAACTTCATGTGTTCACATCTGCAAAGACCCTTTTCCGTATAAGGTCACATTCACATGTGCTGGCAGTGGACACATCCTTTTGTGGTCACCATGCACCCCAACATTGTATTAATGATTGTTCATGCAGGTAGATTCGGTTTATTGTTCATTTTAAATGACACCAGGCCGGTGACTTTATGTCCCTTGGTCACACACACTCAGAGGGCCTCGATAAGTTTTGGGGCATCTGTCCCTGGAGCACTTTGCCATAGGCTCTGGCGGGAACATGATTATTTAGAGGACTCTGTGAGTGCATAAAGATAAGGAAAGAATGGCAACATGTTTCTTAAGTCAAATATTTCAGCTATTTCCCCTTTTTTGTATAAAGAAATGTTCTGGGAAGAACAAGAACAATGACTCTGGAAAGAAGCAAAAAGTGTGAATGTGCTGTAGGCCTTAGAAAGCAGATTTAGCAGGTGCTAGCAGTCCCACACAATTGACGCAGTAGTGGGTATATGGGCTCCGCTCTGGTCTCCTCACCTGGCCTCCCCACCTGGCCCAATGGGGTGCCTCCAGTCTTGCATCCGAGGGCTCTGGGAGACTTCACCTCGGGCTGGGCCTGTCCGCCGCACCTCTGGGGGCCTCTCCCAAAATTAGGCCTGTGTGCTCCTGCCCAAAATTCTGACAGGATTTCGATAGCATAGCACACACACTGAACTTACTACAAAGAGTCGTATAATATAGTTATTTACTTAGAGTTGACACTTAAAAAACATTCTATCACCACTCTGCAATTCAATTAAAATTAAAGCAATAACATCCCGACCATTGTTTGCAGGTCCTAAACTGTCTTTTATTGTCCATTTCCTTTCCCATTTGTATTAGGCAGGAAACACAATCCTACACACACACTGGGTGATGCTATGATGCTATGAAAACTCACGTCTGCAGCAAACCTGCAGGTAGGAGACAGAGCTTATGTCTTCACCCCACATGTGTATGCAAAATAGAGTAAGTACATTTCTCCCCATGGAGAGAAGCTGGCTGTGCAAATGCTTTTGTGGACATTCAGGCACTGTGTCACCGACAGTATTGTAGCACAGGGCGGCAGACATTTGACAACAACCAGATGGTATCTGGCAGTCATGAAGGCGGTAGGTTTAGTTTAAACAAACCAGCACTGCCCCCTGGAAGCGCGGCCAGGTGACTCCCTGTGTGCAGAGTAGCACATCTAGGAAGATTCACGTTCTCCTCATCAGACATGTTGTATTCTCTCAAGGAATCATTTCTCTCAGGCCCAGTGGGCTTTGTCTGCTCAGTATCCAGAGACTGCGTGTGCGATATCACTGGGGGCTGTTGGGGGGACCTGAAGTTGGAGGAGTTTACTGCCTGGGGACAATGTCCCTTCCCTTCCTACTCCACCTTCTCTCCCTCCTCACTGATGAGGCAGAACCCATCTGTGTGGTATCTAACATCCAGGAAGGAAGGAAGACACTGTGAATAAGCAGAGGCTGCTTCTACCTGGGAGGAGGTGGGCAGTGTTACCAAAGGTCTGGGCAGAGGACCAGGACCATTGCTTACCCAACCAATGACCAGTGGATCATTGATACATGCTTTCCCCTTCCCCCCCTGCTGTCACTGGGGTCAAGTCTGTGGTGTGGTCCCAGACTCCTGGTGTTCATCAGCAAAGACAGTCCTTATCTGGAACCCCCTGCTGACACCTAAGTTAAACAAGTGACAGCACATTCATCTTTCTGTGGTGACAGGCACAGCTTGCCTCTCCATTTCCAGCTTGCTCCTCCTCTGTTCCAGCTTGCTCTTCCTCTCCTGGCTTGCTCCAGCTCCTGAGACTTTGCTTTGTCTACTCTTTAAACATAAAATTAACGTAATTTCAAACCTATAAATGTAGCATTTCAGAATTTATTTTAAGAATATCATACTCAAATCATTCACTGTGCATTCAGCCCGCAGTAACTGAGTAGCGGTTTCTCATTAGTCACAGGTAGCTACTGCTTTTATCCCTGGCCATTTTAATGCTGTAGCCTCTACCTGAGACCTCTCCTCTCCCTGTCCCACGGTGCAGGCTGGATTCAGGAGAAGCCTACGAGGGGCCTACTCAGCCAGGATGATGTCTGGTGAGAGAAGTCCTGCATGAATGTGACGTCTGTTCCCCCGTCTGTGTGAGAAAGCTTGGGGTTTACTGCAGAGCTGGTTTCACCTTTGGCTGGCAATGTGTCCTAGGAAATGTCTGAGCATACATGAAGAAAATTCACTCTCAAGGATACTGAGTGATTGGAGTCCATCAACTAGTGGAGGGATAGACAAAATGCTGTCCATCAGACAGTGGGATGAGACCCACCACGGAAAAGAATGAGGCTCTGGCACAGGCAGCCATGGGTGAACCTCAGAAACAATTCTGCTGAGTGAGAGAAGCCAGACAAGAGACTGCAGTCATGTTTGGTTCCATCTATAAGATAGGTCCAGAGGAGGTAAATTTACAGACAGGAAGTAGACAGGCAGTCGCCAGGGGCTGGGGTGGGAGAGGATATTTACTATAAATGGGCATGGTGGGTCATTTTTGAGGGACGAAAATGTTCTAAAACTGATTTATGGTGATGGTTGCACCGCTCGGTAAGGTTGCTAAGAACCTCTGAATTCCACATGAAGTGGGTGAATTTTATGATATGTAAAATATACCTCAATAAAGCTTTTTAAAAAAGATTTTATTTATATTTTAGAGGGGGGGGGAAAGAGGTAGAAAGAGGGAGAGACTTCAGTGTGGGGTTGCCTCTCAGGCGCCCCCTACTGGGGAACCTAGTCCGTAACCCAGGCATGTGCACTGACTGGGAATGGAACCAGTGACCCTTTCGTTTGCAGGCCTGCGCTCAATCCACTGAGCCACATCAGCCAGGGCAAACCTTTTTTTTTTTTTTTAAATATATAAAAAAGAATGCTGTGTACTTCTCAAGCCCAGCTCTAATAAGGAAGCTGTGCGCAGTTATACAATGTTAGCTCTGAAAGAAGTAAATGATGAGGCTTAGGGACAGGAAAGTAAATCCTGGGCTGCTTCATGGTGCCCCACGAGGCTCAGGCTGCAACATCCGCTTGCCATCTGTGACCGAGCTTGTCCCTCCACCCATGAGGGCGACGCAAGCCCTGGACAGTGGCAAGGCAGGCTTTTCTGTCTGCTTGCTCTGTGGCTCCCCTGTGGAGTGCTGTGGGGGTGGAGGCTGAGTGGCGTGCCACTGCGACGCCTGCCACAGTGATGCGCAAGCATAAGGCCCCTTCTGGGAGGGCGCTGCAGGGCGAGAGCCTGCCACTCTGACTACGTCAATGTCTGCCCCGGGGTGCTCTCACCACCTATGGACATATTTTTACGATACTCTTTGGGAAACCTGTATTATAAAATCAATTAGGATGACAACATTTAGTATCAAATGTTTCTCCCTTAGGTCTTCAGGTAGTGAGCACTCCTGATGGAACTGAAACATTTAACTACATGTTTGTTTATGCCCCACTTCTCAGGAACGAACACACCTGTCCCAGAAGATGTGGCATGCTTACGTTTCCACCAGGAATGGGACAGGTTCTCGTGGAAACCCACTATTTTCACTCATGATTGTATCCTTGCATTTGTAGCAAGCCAAGCAGGTGCCCTCAGACCAGAGCAATACTTCCTCTTTAACCAGGTGTCTTTCTGTTGTCCAGCTGGTGTCAACACAGATGGTTGCAGCTTCCAAGGACACAACCCCAGCAAGTTTCCAGATGTGCTTGCTGAGCTGCTGTGTCCTGAGGGTGAAGGGCAGCCGCCCAGCACCGGAGGCCTGCCCAGCCAGGTGCCCGGGCAGGTGCTGGAGACCAACTCGGAGCTGCTACAGTCTGGGGCCGTCATCCTCCCAGGTGAGCATGGCTGCCTGTCTCTTTTTGAGCTGCTGTAACGAATGCCACAGACAGGGCAGCTTAGGAAAGCCAATTTCATACAGTGCTGGAGGCTGAAAGTCTATGATCAAGGTACCAGCATCATCATGCTCTGGTGCGGGGCCTCTTCCCAGTTCACGGTCAGCACTTCTCACTGTGTCCTCACGTGGTAGACGGGGTAATGGAGCCTTGTGGGATTTCTTATAAGGGCACTAAACCCTTTCATGAGGGCTCCACGCTCATCACCTCAGCACCTCCCAAGGGCCCCACTTCCCAACACTGTCAGATCAGGCATTAGGATTTGAACATGTGAATCGGGGGGGGCACAAACATCCAGGCATAAACTCTTTCAAGCGAGCATGGCCTTCACCTGCCCAGGCGAGTGCCAGGCTCTCCTCTCCCGCCAGATCTCACACCTAAGCCAATAACAGTTTGCAGACCCTAGCTCACTATTTCTCAAGCTTGAAGCCCTGTGTGTTCCCACTGGGGCCTCCCCTCTTTCACAATGCCCTGTGTTTCTGCAGGGACCCGAGACCGCCAGGGGAGAGCAGTAGTGCAGGTCTGCACGAGGAGCCCGCTCTGGTCCAGCCACCACATGTCCAGTGCCGAGCTGAGCCGCCTGCTGAAGTACCTCCATGGCATCCCCAGGTGGGACTGAGCCAGGTTTCCACCTTTCAGACCCCTTTGGGGATCAGCTCACGTGAGGGTTTTCATTTCTAGCTATGGGGACTCTTGTGACAAGGGCAGCACACTCCTACCTGCCCCTCGGCCTCCTGCCCTCTGGCTCCTCTCTGCCCCGTCTTTGCCCTCAGCCCCACCTCCCATTTCTCCCCTCTCCCACACATCGCTCCCCTCTGCTCACCCTGCCCCCTCCCCTCTAAACCAAAGCTCAGCCACACACTCGAACTGTGAACCCTGCATTGCTCTGCATTGTCCGCTATTCGCTCTAAGCATTCTTTATTTACATGGTTTGTACTCCACTCCTTTCTAAAACATATTTGAAGTGGCCTTGGATAAAAACATGAACTGATATCTAAACATAATTTTTGGAACAAACGGGTGAAGAAATCATTCAAATGAGGAGAATCTGGTACTAGGAAGCAGGCAGGACTGACTCGCGATAATTGAGCCTTCCGTTCAGCCGGGCAGTGCCGTGGGCCGGAAAGAAAGTGTTCCAGCTCCTCAGGAAAGACGCATCCTCCTGACCGATCTCTCAGAGGAGCAAGCCTCCTGGATCCTGTGTAAGGACATGGCTCTGGAGCAGGTCTGCCCGGGAAGCAGCCATGTTCGGGGGGGCCTTTCCTGGGGCTGCGGATTTGGACCGAGGACCGAGACAAGAGCTGGAGTCCAGGATGGTTAAAGTGCTTTATTTAGGGCCCCTCGATCTCATCAGATGCAGACACACTGGATCGTCCTACGGCTGCCAGACCAAGTTCCCCCTCTGGTGTTGGTGAAGCAACCCCCACCCTCAAAGGAGAATGAACTCAGTCATAATAAAGTCACGTGGCCTGACTCCAGATCCTGGCTCTGAGCTTACTGGTTGGGAATGTGGTGCACCTCACCGTAAAATGGGGTGGTGACAGCTCTCTCAAAGGCATGTTAGAGGATCAGAAAAGATCTCCCTCAGGTTCCTGCACTGAAGGGCAGAGCATGGTCTTCCACCACGTCACATCACAGCAGCTACATAACACACATCATGTGATGTGATCTCGTGTGGGAACATGCCATGTGATACACACATGAGCTCATGTGAGTACATGTTATGTGCTCATTTAATGCCTCATATGTGATCTCATGTTCTTTGCAGTATATCAACTTTCTATTTTAATTTCTTCTGAAACAACATAGGTAAGGATCAGTGCAGGAACACTCAGGAAAAAAAAGAGTTAAAATATTCTCCCTAACACTCCTTTTTACAGAGCAGATTTCCCAGTTATCTGCAGGGCACTAGTGTTGCTGCCTTTGGGGGAGCCTGGGATTTCAAATTTGTCCTTTAGCACAGATTTCAATGTATATTGAAACTATACTAAAAAAGAATAGTTTCACTCTTGCATTAGATTATACCTTGTGAGCCTCAGGTAAACAGCTTCAAAGCCTTCAGATAACGATGTTCCCTATTAACAAAAGCTTTCTGTAATGGGAGCTGCAGTGGAGAGCTGTGCACTTCCGGAGGGTACGCCCTTCTGCATCCTTAGCCTCGCAGCGCTGGCGAGTGGTGCTGTGTTCTCCGTTTTGTAATGAAACTCCTGCGGGTCGAGGGTGAGGGTACTTATGGGGTCGGCAGGGCCAGCACGTGAACCTGGAAGTCCAGCCCTCCACTTTTTCTGCCTCGCCGCAGTAACTCCAGACAGCCCAACTCTTCTCACCAAGGAACGGCGCTTTGGGAGAAAGCCCCTGTTGAGGAACAGTCCTAAAGCACTTGGGACTAACTTATCCTGGGGCCTCGGGGTTCGCTGGTTATCTCCTGACAAGCGTAATTTCATTAGCATCCTGGCCGAGTATTGCACCTTGAGAAGCTGAAATCCACCCACCGTCACAGGATGTAACACATGCCTTCAGCTCTCTGAATGAGGTACCTGAGATGCCAGCATCATTAGGAAGAGCATCCAGCAGTGTCTTGTTAGTGGTTACTGCTGCAAGGAGCCACGTGTTCTGTGGGGGCACCTTATAAATGCACTGCCATCAAACTCAAAAGAGACACAAAATCTTAAAATTACAAAGGATGTTGGTTGTCATTCCTCTGACCTGTGCAGTGGAGGAATCCAATCATCCATCCATCCATCCAACACTTTCCTGGGAATACAAAGGAGAAGAGGACATGGTTCCTGCCCTCAAGCAGACACGTGGAAACCCAGTTTCCCAGGGCTCCCAGCGGAAGACAAAACCACAGTGCTGGGAAGGAGCTGCAGTCTCAGCCAGGGGAGGGGGCTTCCCCATGTGCTCTGTGTCCTGGGGGGGGGGGGGGAGTGCAGGCAAGAGGAGGAGGATGTCCAGGTCGAAGGAAGAGCGCGCACAGCCTCAGGACAGTCGGTCACCTTCTGGTCAGGAGGTGGCATTGACAGAGGCAGGAGAGCGAGGATAGGAGACAATGTGAAGGGAGCAGGCGCCCCTCGGCCAGAAGACTACCCTGACCTCAGTGTGCAGCAGGCAGAGAGGCCAGAGCGGTGGCAGGAAGATAGTTCGAAGCTTCGACAACTCCCCTTGCCTGGAAGTGCTGTCGCACATGCGTGGTCCATCACAATGAGGCCTGACTGCCTGCTTTCAACTGATAAGCCTCTTCATTCCTCCGGAGGCAGAAGGCTAATGCGCGTAAAGCCAGGACTCCTGGGTTCTAGGGACGGGAGGATCTGGGTGAGGACATCTCATTGAGAGAGAGAGAAACTTGCCGTGGAAGAGAGCTAACCTGCAGTGGTTGACACCATCTGTCCCTTCTCTCTCCAGGAAGGAGGTGCGGGACCTGGGGCTGGTCATCCTGGTGGACGCACGCAAGAGTCCAGCCTCTCCTGCCCTCTCCCAGGCCCTGGCAGCTCTGCAGGTGAGTTGGGGGTCACTCCTGTCCTCCACATCTGAGAGTCTCAGGGCTGTGTGGGCCATGAGCACAGAGCCCTCCTGGGAGGAGTGTCCAGCACACCCGCTGGCCGGCACTGCAAGCTTAAACAGCGGAGCCGGCGGGACCCGCCTGCGCGGGCGCCCTGCTGTCGTGTTCTGTCTTACCAGGGATGGTGACAAGCCCTTCCCTTCATAGCACGTCCATGGCACACATCTGACTAAGCCCGGGTGCAGAGGTATGCACATCACCCTGCCAGACAGGGACGGAGGCACGGAGGGGCAGCCGCCGCTCGCTGTAAGGATGAGGGCCCTGGACCTTGGGTGCCCAGGGCTTCTGAGAGGCCTCTGGGATGGGTTCAAGGGGTCTGTTCAGGAGGTTCATGGGCCCCCCAGGGAGACCCCATCCTGGATTCTGGTTCATGAGTAAAATGCAGAGGAAATTTGAATCCCTGGAGTGGAAATAAAGGCACAACTGGGATGTTCCAGGGACCTAGGGCCAACAGGGGCCTGAGAACATCAGTCTCCCTCAGACCTGTGTACACAGGCCCTTTGTGTGCCAAGTGCTGTCCTGGGGTCTGGGGTCTCAGAGACAACTGGAAGCTTCTCTGGCTGCTCCAGCTATACCCGGAGCTAAAATCTGTCTCTGCTAACGGTACACAGATTGAACAGCTCACTGTCCCTAAGTTTGGGGACACCAACTGGAAGTTCTCTCCAAGAAAGACAGAGGTTAGGGCATGTTTGAAGGCAAGTTCTGAGGCTGGGCTGGGGAGGCCAGGCCAGAGAGACCTGGGGACATTATGGAAACCTCCAGGCAGGAGACCTGAGGCCCGGAGCCGAGGGCAGGAATGGGGGTGGACGGGTAGGCAGGTGAGGGGGCGTCCCTGGTTAGGGCACCCTAGTGGTGGTGCTGCTCCTGGCCTGGCACAGGAGTAAAGGCCAGGGAGCAGATTCTGGGAGAGGAGACAAGGCTACTGGCCGCCTACACTGCTGGAAGGAGTCTCAGAGCAAACCTCCTGGGTGACAGCCGCATTTCAGAGGGCCGTGCACGCTCGGTCTTGGCTTTCACCAGGAAAGGTTCATGTTGCACTCCGTTAAAGCGCACTGTAGCTCCTCTGACAGCAACAGGTTTGACGCGCCCAGCTTCAATTTCTGTAAGATGTTTCAGAGGCACGTAATCTATTTGCTCACATACCCCGCCTGTGGGCTCAAAAGTCAGAAACTAGGATGCTGACCAGTTTTGTGTTCCTATTCTGCCAAGGTTTGGAAATTCCTTTGAGATTCTGTGTCTTCCTTCATTACATGCAATTTTATTGTATATAACAGTAAAGACTGAGAAATTGCCAAGTAAAGTTTCTTAAGAAAATAGGTAAATGACTGCTTTTCAGAAGGATTTTGAGGGAAGTACTGTTGAAAGATGGAATAGAAGTGTTGGCAACCCTAAGATTTTCTCCGAGTTCTTTGATTTTGCTAAAAGATTGTGAATCTGAACTTCCTGGTTCACTGTAATCCAGCTGAACAGCACGACAACATTGTTTATACCTCAGGAGTGCATGTCTTTGAAGTTAGCAGCTGAAACGAGTATGCCTCAGGTAACAACATAAAGTCAACATCCATATAAATAGCAACTCGAGAGAAAAACCACTTTGTTTTTGTCCCCAAAACCAAACTAAAATGTTACCACTGATGAAAGATTTTAAAAAATATAACCAGAAGTTTTGATCAGATTCCTAGAAATCCTTTCATTTGCTTCATGCAGCTCGTTGGAAAATCTATGTGTAATCATGAAAGACCTGTGAGAGCTGCCAGACCCGTGCGCTGCACACGGAGTCCTGGCCGGGGCCCGCAGCACCAGGCGCACCTGTGACCCATGTGGGTGCCAGACACTCACATTCTAGTGCCCTCACGGAGGCCAAAGCAGACAGCTTCTCACGGTCCCACCCACGGAAGCCCCTCTGGAGGGTCCTGGCCAGTCTCCCCCTTGGAACCCAGCCCCCAACACTTAGCCGTGTCCACAGGCAGCCCCTGCCTCCTCTGGACGGTGCTCTGGGAGCCCCACAGGGGCCCGCCGGGCCGGCAGTGCTCACCCAGCGTGGGCCAGCCCTTCCCCCCTCTCCTCTGTGTTTCTTCCACCTTCAGCCCCAGGTGGCGATTGGGGGCCTGGGAGGGAGAGCACCCTGGTTATCACTCTATCTGCCCCGGGTGCTCTGCCTCCCTTGTCAGCTCTGATCCATAGCCCTTAATTCAGAGTCAGTGAATTGTGCCCATGCTGGTCACTGTTGTCATTAGCTGCCCTGGAGAATGTGGGGAAGGTTTGAAATTTGTGTTCAAAGCGGGGAAAAGTAGGCTAACTGTAATAGCATACACAATAAAATGTATATTAAAAAAAATTGTATTCAGAGGAAGCCTGGAGATCCAGCGACTTGCTGCAGGACCCAGGACAGCGCCCTCCCTGGGTAGAAGGTGGGGCTGGAGCAGCAGGCTCCCCAGTGGCGGCTTCTCCTCCTGTCTGAGTGGCAGGGCCCCGGACCCTCAGTGGTGGGGTTAGTGCTGGGGCACCTTTCACAGCTGTAAAGGGCTTGGAGAGCTCTCAGAGCTGGCTGTCGTTCTCGGGCCAGTGCCGAGAGGTAAAGGGCAGATTCTGGGCGGCAATGAGGGACGTGTGTGCTGAGGGTGGGGCTGGCATGATAGAGCCGCCTCCCCCCACCACCGCGAAGTCCCTGACCTGCACCCAGCATGGCACCGGTTTTGTGAGAAGTTATCTCGGTGCCAGTACGAGCCACCTGTGTGTTCCTTCGCTGCACTGTGTTCTGTGCATGGTGTGTGTGGGATGAGGAGACAAGCAGGGCCGTACAACCGGGCAGGTGCTGTTGCACAGGCTGTTCCAAAGCCAGGGGACTGCTGCAGCTTCTACTCCCTTGGCATCCAGAAAAAACCTGCAAGTGCCCAGCCTCAAACAGAGAGGGTGAGCCCTTCGTGGGAAGCCTACAGGCTTAGCAACAGCGCTTCCCATTTTGCACGAGGCCCAGGCAGGCCCGCCCTGGAGCCCTTCAGTTGTCGATCTGAGTTTTTGGCAGATTGGACAAAGTCCGCCCAGAACCATTTATCAGTTTTCTTTGTAAGGATATCCCCTGCCCAGCATTTCTTTTTTTGGCTAGACTTCCCTGAAATCCTGTGCCGCTCAAGTCCCTTGGGGGGAAACTAAGCCAAAGAAAGATGGTCACTCTCCACCCATACATCTCCAAAGCATAAGCTGGGATCCTTAGCTTTTTATCACAAGGGAAGCTTCTGAGGAACTTCATGACGGTTTACGAGAGGAAGGCAGTTCCGCTGTTTGACCACTATGGTGGTTGCCGCTCCTGCACAGTACGGCCTGTGGTCAGGCCGCTGAGGCCTTGGCATTTGCGCCCAAGCGCAGGCCCCCACTCCGCTGCCCTGGCTTTGGAGCGACCAGCAGCAGGGTTTGCGGTTTATGTGAGAAGAGTAGAAATGACCTGGAATGCAAGGGTCATGTTTCTGTTTTCAACTTCATTTTGGAGGTATATACAAAAGTAGGTAAATTCTTTCACAGAGAGCAAAACTATGGAACTTTTTCATAACTACCTTAAGTAACTATGCTTCAAATTTATTAAATTAGTAAACTTCAAACACATAAAAAAAACTTTCCATTTTGAAAGGAAATAATGCTTTTTTCCCCCCTTGGTAGAAGGAAGTCTTCTAAGAAATTGCTCATTCCTACCCCGCATACATACAACACGTAACTATTAGACAGTAATGGGTGTAATCGTCATAAAGCATTGACTCTGTTCTCATTTATCTGAGAATGTTAATTTTTTTTGCTATAGAACAGATCTTAATAGTAAATATTCACTCAAATAGGAATATATGAAAAATATAAAGCACTTTGTAAAACTGTAGTTTTAATGCGTGATAACTCAAAAGTTTAGCTTAACTGAGTGAGAGAAATAGAATACGGCTCTATAACAGGAAAGCAAGGATGGTTTTTTATTTGAGCTTTCTATCATTTATTCAACAAGTATTTATAAAATGCCATTCATAAGAAGCCACTTAACAAAAATATAAATATGTAAGACTAAAATAAGGCAAAGAAGATACCAGCTCTGAGGCCCATCCAGTAATTTTATTGCAAAATAAGAGATTTTCTAAAATCTGTATATCAACTATAAGAAACTTTGAAAAAGTACAGCTTTAGAGAGTATGAATGAAGAAACGCTATCTAAATAGAAGCATTTTATTGCTAAATGGTCTGGCCTCAATGTAATCTAGCAAACAGAAACCAAGAGGGTTTGATTAAAGTCATAAACACATAAAAAATAATATTTTTCAACCGATAGGTCTAGAACAATTGAAATCTGTGTGCAAAAGAAAAAGGGAAAAAAAATCCTCAACACATACCTCATACTATATGCAAAAATTAACTAAAAATGGATCATAGACCTACATGTAAAATCTCAAACTATAAAACCACCAGAAGGACACATAGGAGAAAATCTTCATGAGCTTGGTTTAAGCAAAGATTTCTTACCTATGACCGCAATAGCATCACCCATAAAAGGAAAAAATGATAAACTGGACTTCAGCAAAATTTAAAACTTCTCAAAAGGCACTGTTATTAAAATTAAAATACAAGCTATGGACTGGGGTAAAGTATTTGCCAAATACATATCTAATAGAGGACTTGTACCCAGAACACATAAAGTTTCAAAATTCAATAATAAGAAAACAACCCGATAAAATAGGGGCAAAAGATTTTAACACACTTAACCAAAGAGAATGTGTGAATAACAAATAAGCACATGAAAATCTATTCAAGATCACTAGTCATTGGAGAACTTAAAACCAAAAGAAGGTAACACACATGCTACAACAACAAACTTTGACAGTAACAAGTGCCTGGTATTGCTGGTGGATATGCAGAATGGTCCAGCCACTCTGGAAAACAATGGGCTATTTCTTTAGAAGTTGAACATACACTTTTTTTAGGTCCCAGCAATCCCACTACTAGCTATTTACCCAAGAGAAATGAAACTTATGTGCACACAGAGTTTATAGCGTCTTTACTTATGATTGCAAAAAGCTGGAAACAGCCTAAAGGTCCTTCAGCTGGTGAGTGGAACAACAAACTGGTATCTTCATGCAGTGGAATACTGCTCAGCAATAAAAAGGGATGAGCTGCTGATAGTCACAGCATGGGTGAATTTCAAATGCACTGTGCTCAATGAAGGAAGCCAATATTGTGTGTTTCCATGTATAACTGGAAAAGGCAAATTTATTGAAACAGAAAACAGATCAGTGGTTGCCAGGGGCTGGGGGGCTTCACTACCAAGGACCATGAGGAAATTTGAGGGATGTTAATCTGTTCTGTATCTTCATAGTGGTGGTGGTTATGTGACTGTAATTTACATCAAAACTCAAGAGAACGGTACACCAAAAAGGGTGTATTTTATTACATGTAAATCAAACCAACAAACCTGATTATATTAAATAATTTATAAGGGCAAGTAATTTACATTCAGAGGGAAGGCAACTGCATTTTATGCATTCTAGGCATTTTGGGAAAATATCAAAGTGAAAGTAGCACCAATCAAAATTGGACAATTATATTAATGAAGTTAAAAATTAGAAAGCAAATTAATATTTCATTTTTACTTATTTCAGAACACATCTCCCCCGATAATTCATAGTATTTTGCTGTTGGTGGGTAAAGAATCAGCATTCAGACCTGACAAGGCTGCAGCAATTCAGGTAATGGTTTTAGACTCTCAGCATTAGCTATGACTCTGAATGATGCATAAAATTAAATATTAAGGCACTCAGATGAGATAAAACATATAAAAGAATTTGTGTAAATTATGGTCTCACCCACGAAGGAGCCTGGAGACCTGTGTCTGACCCTTCCGTTCTTTTTTCTTTTTTTTTTTAAGATTTTATTTATTTATATTTAGAGAGAAGGGAAGGAAGGGAGGAAGGGAAACATCAATGTATGGTTGACTCTCACACGCCCCCTACTGGGGACCTGGCCTGCAACCCAGGCATGTGCGCTAAGAATCCAACCAGTGACCCTTTGGTTTTCAGGCAGTCACTCAACCCATAAGTCACACCAGCCTGGGCAGTTCTTGCAGGAGCCTTGCAGAGCCTAACATCAGAGCACTTTGAAAATCTGATCTTTCTTCTCCACCTCAGTTGTTTTCTTTCCTTGTTTTTCTTCTTGATTCTTTCTCTTTTATTTGAAAACTTCTTTACTTTCACTTTTTTCTTGAAGGATATTTTCACTGGATATAGAATTCTGCTTCATTGTAGTTTTTCTGTTTCTTTGTTTTTCCAGCACTTTAAAGATGTCGTTCTCTTGTTTTCTGGCCTCCCTATTTTCTGATGAAAAATTCATTGTAATTCAGGTAATTGTTTATATGTAGGAAATGTGTCATTTTCTTCTGGCTGCTTTCAAGACTTTTTCTTCCTTTTCAGCAAATTGACTATAATGTGATTGGGTATGGGCTTTTTTTTTTTCATATTTATCCTATTAGATATGGCTGAAATTTTATATCACCAAATTTAGAAATTCAGTCATTATTTCTTAAAATGTTTTTTTATGCCTGATTCCCACCTCTCTTTCTAGGATTTCAATTACACATACTAATGTTGTCTCATAGGTCTCTGAGACTGTGTTTTTTAAAAACACTTTTCTCTCTCTCTTCTTCAGATCAGATTGCTTCCCCTGATCTATCTTCAAGGCCACTGACTCCATCCTCTCATCTCCATTCAGCTATTAATCCAATCTAGTGAATTATTTAGTTCAGATATTATATTTTTCAGCTATAAAATTCCCAGTGGGTTTTTAGATATATTTTCTCTACCTCTGCTGAGATTTCCTGTCTTCTCAGTAATTGCAAGCATTTTTCCTTTACATCATTGAGCATAGTTATAGCAGTTGCTTTAAAGTGCTTATCTAATAATTCCAACATCTGGGTCTTCTCTGGGTTGACCTCTGTTGGTTGCCTTTTCCTTTGAGAATGAGTCACATTTTCCCGATTCTTCATGTGTCAAGTAATTTTGGATGGTATTCTAGACATGGTGAATGTTCTGTTGTAAAGACTGGATTCTGATATAAACCCCACGCAGTTTTATTTTAGCATGAATTTACCTTGGTTAAACTCACACTGAAAACCATCCCTTGCATGGGTCCAGTGCAGCTCTTCTTGCCTTCAGCTACTTGAAGTCCTCCCCATACACACATGGGTAAGGGTCAGAGTTTACAGGCACCTGGAGCTTCCTTTCCCAGCTTTCTCCCTTGTGAGAATTCATCTTCCCTTTCCAACCCGTCTTTCCTTTGATTTCTCTGGGCCAGAAAGATGCCAGTTCTCTATCAGAGCTTCAGCCACTCCAGTCTCACCATTGGCAACCTGCTTCCCACCAAAGCCACAAAAACACGATGTTCCCTCCATGCTGGTCCCTCCGTCCAAGTTTCAACTGCTCACAATACACCCAGCTTTGTTCTGCTTCCAGAGCTTTCCGAGAGTTGTCGTTGCCCTTTGTCCCGAGCTTGTGGTTTTGTCTGACAAGGTTCTACTCTGCCTTACCAGCAGTAGCCACCCTCAGTTCCATCCTCACTTTTCCCACTCTCTTCCTGCCTTTTCCCTTCTCCCCATATCATCTTGCCCTTGCTTCCTTCCCAGTTTTTCCCTTTTTTTTGTCTTTCCTTAACTGGGACCTTTCCTTCATTTCTCTTTGCAACCCTTTCCTTTCACTTCTTCTCAGCTTCATTCTGGTATCAACCACACACAGCCCACTAATGCTACCAGCACGGCAGCCCAGCGGAGCCCATCAGTAGCGGCTCTGCCAGGAGCGAGCCGCTTCAGCAGTGTTTCCTTCCCCTCAGCAGTGTGAGGTGGTGGGCTCCCTGAAGGCCCTGCACAAGTTTGTCGACAGCTCCCAGCTGACCGTAGACCTCGAAGGCTCCTTTCCCTACAGCCACAGTGACTGGATCTGCTTCCGCAGGGTAAGGAGCAGCTCACAGCAGCTGCGTGTACCACAGTCACCAGGGGGCTTCTAATGGATGTTTTCACTTAAATCTAGTCTGTTTCTAACAACCACGTGACATGGGCTTAAGAATGCCTCTGAAATCTGGCCCTGGGCAGGGAGGATGCTGCTCCTGTGCTTCTGTAGATACCGAGAGGTCACTGGGTGACTCCATGATAGGCTTGCTACCTGAGAGCAGTTTAAACATGGGAACTTACAGCCGCTTACTTCAGCATCTAATAGAATGTGTCTGTAACCATCTCGTCCTCTCAAACCACCATAGAAGCTGGAGCCCTTTACCACAAACTGCCGGGATGCCATTGCTTTCCTACAAAGTTTAATCGGTTCCCTAAACACCCACAGGACCCTAAACACGGCACAGGTGGGTGCTTGGTATTTTATTTTGTTTGACAGGTGGAAACGGGGAGATTTAGCTAAAGCTTGAACATGAATATTTAGTTTCACCATCATCCATAGCCAGAATTCTCAAACCCTTTTGATTTGTAGATCCCCTTCAGGTAGCAAACAACTTCCAAAGGACCCCTTCCTCCCTCTTGTGACCAAAAAAATCCCACCCTGCCAGAAAGAGAAACAACACCGCCACAATTGATGGCTATGCCAGCAAGGCATGAGCGATTGCTGCTGGGGGCAAGCCATTCAAACCCAATACAGAGAGGCGCTCGCCGGAGAGACCGTGGCAACCTGGAGACGCCTTATGGGTGCCCGGGTGTGCTGTCCTCCAGATGCCGGGTTCTTCTGCTGCTGAGTTTCAGCTCCCCACTGTCCCCTGCCCTCAAGTCTAAATCTCAGGCTCCCCTCCCCTGAGTGAGGCATCTGGAGCCTGCTGCCCACCCTCCTGCTAGGACTGGGTGGCTGGTGTAGCCATCCCAGCATGCTTTGAGTTTGAGTGGTGAAGGCCCAGTGTGGTCCTACCTACCCAGCTTTAGACCTGGAAGGACCTGCCTGGAGGAGGGGGGTTCTATGCGTGCTCCTCCCACCCTCACAGGAAATCACAGAGTCCATCAGCGAGCACAAGGCCATAATGAAGCGAGTCCTGGAAGACGAGCTGCTGGTGGCCCTCCGCCTGGAGGGCGGCACCGTGCTGGCACGGCTGAGGAGGGAAGAACGTGGGGCCAGCGAAGACAGCCGGTGAGCGTCATGCTGGGGCAGCTTGGGGTGAAGCACAACGTTCTGCCCCACAGGGGAAGCCCGTCCCTGTCACAGGCAGTGTCTCCGAGGGACCCAGACCTCCATTCCTCTGACAGACATGCTTGATGGAACCAGAGCTTGTCTCATTGGAGGACTCCAGGGAAAAACTAGCCCATTCCTTACAGCGTGCAAGTGGGAGACAAAGGTCATTATAGTGGGATCCAGCAGTCAGAGGTCCTGACTGAGCACTCCCTCCGTCCTGGGGTGCTGCATCCACCAACCCACGTTTCAGTCCCACCTCTGAGGTGCCTGTGTGTATGTGTGGCCAGTAGGTGTCACTGCTTATGGGCACGTTCAAGTTCCTGCTCTGGCTGTGGGCCCCATCTGGCACTTCCATTTCTGTCAGACATGAAGGACAAAATCAGTGCAGTTGTGTTTTTTAAGCAGGTTGTCACCGACAGCATATTCCTAAGAGGACAGCCTCCGAACAAACCAGTGATCAGGACGTGACACCCAATACCTGCCTTCTCTTCCAGAGACAGCATCGAGGCTGCCTCCCAGCTGTATAACCAAGTGGATGAAGAGATCCACCGGCTGGTCCTCACCTCCAACAGGTGTCTGCAGGAGCTGGAGAGTCTACGGGAACTGAGGACACTTCAGGAGGAAAGTGACCAGGTCAGTGCTCTGTGAGAGAAGCAACTGGGTCACATCTGGGAGGGGGGTGACCAGATCAGCACTCCAGGAGGGAAGTGACCAGGTCAGAATCCAGGAGGGAGGTGACCAGGTCAGGATCCAGGAGGGAGGTGACTGGGTCAGTGCTCCAGTCAGAGGAGCCAAATGAGAAAAATATTTTAAACCTCTGCCCCTTGAAATAATCAGTGTTAACACTCAGTGTGTTATAACCCAGACTCTTCTCCATATATGTGTATATAAATGCTTTTCAAAAGCTTGTACAGATATGTGCTGCGTAACGATGGGGATATGTTATGAGGAAACACATGATCAGGTGATTTCGTCCCTGGAAGAACATCACAGAGGCACGTATGCAGACCTGGGCGCACAGCCCACTGCACACCTAGACTAAGGCACAGCCCACTGTGCCTTATAGGCTGGGCGACCAGCCTATAGAACCTGTTACTGTGTAAAACAGTATGAGATTAAATCAAGCACAAGAGAAAACAATGCCATCAAAAGGTAAAAATGAGATGTGTGAAGCCAGCATAACACAGCTACTGTTCTACAACAAATATTTTTTATAAGTAGGAAGAGTACACTCTGAAATCATGATGAGCCCTGGCTGGTGTGGCACAATGGATTAAGCACCGACCTGCCAACCAAAAGGTCGCCATTGGGTTCACTGTCAGGGCACAGGCCGGGGTTGTGGGCCAGGTCCCTGGCTGGGGGAGAGCAAGAGGCAACCAGTCGATGTTTCTCTCACACATCAATGTCTCTCTCCCTAGTTCTTCCTCTCTCCTCCTCTCTCTGAAAATAAATAATACCTTTAAAAAATAAATAAAATGTCTTAAAAAAAACAAAATGATCATAGCATAGCAAATCCATAAACCGGTAGCACAGTCATTTGTTATCAAGTATTACATACTGTACTTAACTGTATGTGCGATACTTCCTACACAGTGGGCAGTTCAGTGGGTTTGTTTACACCAGCATCACCACAAACACGTGAGGAATGTGCTGTCTACAGTGTTACCATGGCTACGACATCACTAGACAATAGGAGTTTTTTAGCTCCACTGTAATCTTACGGGACCTCCATATATGCAGCCTGTTGGTGACTAAAATGTCATTATGCTGCACATGACTGCATGCTTTTAAGCAAAATCCTTATTATTTTATAAATCACTATTTCCATGTAAATGTGAAGGCAGGAGCCTGCACAGCCAGGTGTGTGGGGCAAGGTGAAGAGTGACTGGAAAATGTCTCCGTATCCTCGAGTTGTCAGGTCACCTGAGGACAGTCAGGGTGGGAGGATTGCTCCTGCCAGGGGGTCCCCAGGGGGGCCGCAGGCATGGCGGGGTGTGGACTCTGTATTTTCCCTTCCCTGTTCTCCCCACATCCGGCCCCAACTCCAGTCGTGGGCCAGCAGGGGACAGGGGCTGGGTACAGGGTGACCTGGCTGATCCAGGCTGCAGGACAGGGGCAGGAGACCATCGGCACATCGGGGACAAGGCAGGTGGAGACAGGAGGTGAACCAGCTCACCAGGCCCCTGGTGCCGGCAGCCTGGGGCGTGGCCGGAGGGCCTGCCGTGCCTGGGGGCACCTCTGACCTGTGGGACGTCCTGTGACTTTTTCTCTTCCTCCTCCTCCTCTTTCTCTGTCCTGTGGGTCCCCTCTCCTGTGGCATTTCCTCTGTCCTGTGGGGACCACTATATCTCATGTACCCAGTTCTCCTTTTTCTTCATTTTTCTGTTGTTTGAGCAGAATACCCACCAGGACTTTCCAGAGAAAGGGATAATGAGATGAAAATTTCTGAGATCATGTATATCTGACAGTCTTTTTCTTCCTTCACATTTCATGGTAGCTTTAATTTCCCTCCCAAATTTTGGAGGCACTCTTTGATGTCTTTCAGCTTCATGCAATGCAGTGGAGGAATCCTCATCTATTCTGCTCTTGACCTTGGTCTGGGCCCTGTTTTTTCTCACTCGACCCCTATTTACCTCTGGTCTCTTCAGGGCACTTTGATCGCAGGGACCCAGGTCTGGGGGTTCCTCCTTAGGCCACCAAGTCTCTCTGCTCTGGGATTTCTTGTTGTCTTAGATGAGCTCTCCCGTTTTCTAGAATTCCACACTTCCCCCCTGGTTCACTCATTTTCTCTTCTGTTTTCCGTATCATTGGCTTTTTGTTCTGCTTTTCAGCATAGATTTTCTGAACTTGATTTTCTAACCTCCTGTGAGAGTTTTTGCCTCTGCTATGACATTTTTAATGTTTCAGCCATGGAGTTTTGTTTATTTTCTGAATGTCTCTCCTTGATGGCGTCCTGCTAGACATGCTCTCCCCGCCTGTCTACAGCCACCCCTCTCCCTGCTCAGGACTCCCACGGCCCTGCTGCTCTCTGTCCCTCCTTCCCAGCCCCGCTGCTCTGCATCCTTCATGGGTTAAAGGAGTTTTTTGAAGCTTTAATAGCGTTTCAAGAGGGAGCAAAATTAGGTATATCTTAAGCTGCCTTCTTCACCCAAAACTAAATACATTTTAACCTAAAAATGAGATCATTCTATATACAATGTATTTAATTTCTTTTCCACGGAAGAAAGGCATGAACACTATGGAAGAATCAGAAAGGAAAGAGCTTTTTACAGAAGTGGGATCATGCCGTGCATGGCTGCCTCTGACCTGCTTTGTCTGGCAGGCCATGCACTGGGCACTGCCGAGCGGCCTGCACCTCTGAGCTCTGCCCTGCTATTTGCTGCTGCTGTAAACATGACTGCATATGTGTCCTTCACACATTGTGACTGTTCATTGTGGACAGATTCCTCAACTCAGCATGGCTGAGAAGAGCACGCATTTTTTGAGGTTTTTATGCTTTTGGCAAGTAGCCCCCCCGTCAGCCCGCCCAGCTTAGGTTACCGCCTCCCTGATCTAGTGAGGGAAAGGTCAGGTTCTCACCAGTGCTTGCATTTGGCTTTTCTTTTTTTATGCTCCAGTTGAACTTTGTTTTCATACATTTATTTGTTGTTTTTATTTATTCTCTTATAAGTTACATCTTCCTGCACTTGGCCAGTTTCTCTACTCTTTGTAATTAGTTTCATTGTATGACTTGGACTAATCCTTTGATGATGTTGCAAATAATTTCTCCCATTTGTAATCCGTCCTTTAACTTTGCTTATGATTTAAATAGGCTTTTCTGCTTTAATATATTCCATCATAAGACTCTAATGGCTTGAATATTTCCATTTAAATCTTCAAAGCACCTAGAATTTACCTTTTTCACGAGGTTAGAGGGGGCTCCCCCTGAGAGACCTCCACTCCGCTGGCTGTGCCCTGCCCCTCCACCCTGCCGCTCTGAGGTGACCGGTGCTTCCTCATAAGAATCTCATCTCGATGTTTTTCTCCATGACTCCATCCACAAACAGTGTGCACTCTGATTTCTGTGCTCTGCCTGTACATCAGGAATCCCTAAATTCAATCCTTGTGGTCATAGGTGCAGCCCAATGACACCATTTTTAATAACAGACCTTTCTTCTTGGGCACCTAACAGCCTGGGGTCCCTGGCATTGCTCTCCAAAGAGAACTGTGCATGAAAATGAAGCATTTCCCTATGAGCTGTTCACGATGAACCAGCGATATTGCCACAGGATTTGTCTTTAAAATGAGAGCCTGGACCATGTCACACTGAGCTGCAGGCAGGGCTGCCATCGGCCCCTCTGTCACTCCCAGGCAGCCCCTGGGTGTCCAAGCACCACCAGCCTACAGAATATTTCTGGGATATGTTTAGCATGGTACGAAGTTTCAAAACTGAAAATTCTGTATCTATTTTTCAATGCTCTTAATTGCCATTTGCAAACAATGAAAATCGTTATAAACTGGAGCCTTCATCACGGCCCCCGCTGCTGTGTAGCTCCTTGCAACACGTTCGAGTGAGACGCAGTGTTTGCATCGGGAAGAGGCGTGCTCTCTGCAGGAGTGAGCAAGCCAGCCCTTGAGCGGCGTGAGGCGCCTCCGTCGTCCTCCGGGTCTGAGAGCCGGGCTCCTTCACATGTTTAAAAGTCAGACCTTCTTTTCCTGTGTAGATCAAATCGTGGTTTGAAAAAGAGCAAAAGAAATTCCTGGGCCCTTTGGAACTGCTCTCTGTTGAGAATGTGAAGCAGCAGCCGCAGCAGGAGCTGTGGGCCGGGCACCCGAGGCCAACGGTGGGTGCAGTCCAGCCCTCACTCGGAAACCCTGGAGTAAGTGCCCAGCTTGTGCTGATGGTTGGTCCCTTGGGCTACAGCAGTGTTGTCAGAAAGGACGACCGCTGATGGAGGAGAACGACTCTAAGGACACAGAGGAAACAGTCCAAGACGCCGGGAGGCGTCTGAGCGCCTCGGCCGGCCAGGCTGAGTGGAGAGAGGGAGAGCTGGCCCAGTGCATTCGCCAGTCCCAGTTCTGCGAGACAGTAAGAGGCCCAGCAGTTTCTCCCGGGAATCCACATGTGCGGCCCATGTCCTTCACTCTTCCGACATCTAGGGAGCACTGTCCCCGTGCAGGTCTGGGTGCGCTGAGTGCAGGGGCTGTTGGCCCACACTCCCATTAGATCATGTCCCTGGCTCGCAGTCCGCTTACTGCCAAAGATCCCAAAATAATTGCCACAGTACAGCACACACCTGCAACCTCACCAGCCCCCTCGACGTGCCTAGCCATTGGGGACCTGGGAGCTAGAGCCCTCAGGAGCACAGCCCCTCTTGACGGAACCCAGGGGGTCAGGGACGGTTGGCACAGGCGGGGGCAGGGGTTCTCTGCCCCGCTCTCACCGCCCTTCTCTGCCCTGCTATCTCTTGGGCTCCCACACCGGGCAGAGATGTGGAAGAACTGATTTAGCAGACATCTCATGGTCCTGGGACACCCCTCATGGTGTCGTTGGCGGCTGTGGAGGACGTGTCTGCCCTGTGGGTGGGTCCGGGTGGCAGCCACAAAGGGGTGCTCCTCTCGCTCTGGCCGCCCGGCTCACCCTGATCCTTGACTTGGGTGCCTGGATAGCAGCACAAGCCTGTCCTGAGTTCACTTGAGCCACTGACTGGCCACCTGTTGGGTGGGGCCGACAAAGCCAACTGGCCGTGCGAGCCCTTCGCAAAACTGATCAGTTGCTCTCCTTTGCTGCACAGGTGAATGGGACGAAAAGGCATTGCAGTGAGTGCCTGGAACGCCTGGGCCCAGGGCTGGTTGCGGAGTATTTGAAGAGCTGTCACCAGGAGGCCATGGGGGTGTCCGCGAACACGGCCGTGGTGGGCCTCGGTGGCCAGCAGGCACTGGCACAATGGCACGCCTTGAGGCTGCAGTGCCAGCAGGCCCCCCTCCACTCCCAAGAGGCCCTTTCTGAGGCTGCCCCGGGCCCCGGACCCCTGCCTCTGGACCAGAGCCCCTTGAAGCGCGAGCTTGTCCAGGGGGCTGAGATGAGGCACCGCGAGGCATCCTGGATCCCCCCCACTGACCCTGAGGGCCACACTGGGGAGTGGGCACGACTGCTGTCCAGCCTCCCTGGACAAGTCGCTCTGTGTGGGCAGGGGGGTGAGCACCTGGACCCAGGTGTGCACGACCCGGACAACAGCTCCACTTGCTCCTCTGAGCCCACCCAGACCCCCACCATCCACCACAGGAAACATCCTGTGAAGAAAATTATGAAGAAAACACTAAGCTTTGAAATTCCTCAGCTTGACAGTGGCCCCAGGGACTCCCACTGGCCAGGCCACACTGGGGTCTTCATCAAAGGCCTGGAGGTGACCAGCACTGTGGCCTCAGAGAAGAAGCCCTCACTGAGGGCACCTGCCGAAAGCCCCCCAGTCACTCTGAACCGGAGCCTGTCTTCTCCTTCCAGGATCCAGCCTTCTGAGGGGGACAGGAGGCGGCCAGCAGGAAGGTAAGGTGGGCACCCCTGCAGCCTTAGGGTGTGGTGGCCAGTGGGGATCTAGAAACGCAAAGCCACTAAATGCGCTTCTGCAGAATAGAAAATCCATGGGTATCCCTCCAGGCTACCCTGTCCTGTCGGGGCCAGACAGGATAGATGTCTGTTTTAATTCATCTTTGAGATGTTTGCAAAATGATACTTTTTATTAATTGTTTAGATAAAGTGGTAGGAACTCTGCCCATCCCTAATGCCAGGTAGTGACACTGGCCTGGTGTCACTGCACCTCTGTGCTGTTTGCCATTTTCACAGTGAGTGTTGAGGCCTGGAGGTGGGGCGTCCTAGTTTGCTGGCTTCCTGTCCTGTGTTTCCTCCTCATGCAGAGCAGCTTTAACCTGAACTGAGATGGTTACAAAATACTCTTCTGAAATACAACTTTTAAGTTTCAAAACCCTGGGCAGTTACATTGTACCGTGTTGAAGGTAAAGGTTTCATTTTTGCAGTGGGGCAGCAGAAGGGGTGTATATCCCTGTGGGCCCCAATCCGTGGGAAGGCTGCAGGGGGTGACATGCGCTGGTGGGTCCCTTCCAGCTCCACTACACTCACGCAGGGCGTTCCAGGGCAGCAGAGCAAACAGGCGGAGCCATCCACTGCCAGAGCTCCCCTTGGTCACTCAGAGTGGACATCCGGGGTCAGTAAGGGAGCAAGTGTGGAAAGCCGCTGGGCCTTCGCCCCTGGTGACAGGTCCCCTTTCCCTGCATTCACAGGCCGCCACCCCAAGGTCTGGTAGCGAGGAGTCCCCTGCACACCCAGAGAGGGAGCAACTCATCCTCAAACTCCAGGGCCCTGGCAGTTGGGGGTGGGGAACATCACGGAACCAAACCCGCCTTTCCTGAAAACCCAGGTCTGCTAAGTGTCCGGAGGGAGCTGCTGTCAGCTGGCCAGCAGCCATTTCCCCAGAAATTTCTGGCTATTGTGGCTTCATGAGTCAATTTCCATTTATTCGGTCCAAATCCTCAGACCACTCTCATTTTAACTTTGTGCCTGAGTATTCAAGGAGGACACCTGTTTTCTGTGAGTGTTGATGAGGGTGATTCTCTGCAGCCTGTGCTGTGCACCAGGGGCGCCTTCAGGCCGCCAGCAGCAGGTGTCCCCGGCCAGATGTGCTGCCTGCTTGGAAACAATAAGCATTTGTAAAATCTGTCATGGGGGGAGGGGTAACGGTTGAGTGCTCCAGGTCTGTAGGAGATGGCACGTAGTCAGAAGCATTTCTAACTTCATGTGTATTTCCTGTTATTATTTGCATTGAATTTTTTTCCAAATTTAAAAAAAAGTAAGACAAATAATGGCAGAAAAATTGGCCAGCTGTCATTGGTGTCATTAGGATTGAGTAATTTAAGACAGTTGACAATAGGACGCTATCACTAGGGGAGAAAAGCAGTGTGCCTCGCTATTAGTGGGTGGGGCGCAAGTCACCAGCAGACCTCGTCTTGGTACCCTGCTGTTCAGTTGATTGGTGGCTTGCACATGCTAGCCTGCCACGCCAGGAGGCCTGGGCCTGGCAGGAGGAGGTGCCTGCCTTCCCCTCCCTGCGCCCCCCAATCCTCCCACCCCCTGCGGTCTGTCTCCTCACTGTCCTCGGGGATGTGACTAGTTTAAAGCTGCTTTTTCAGAAATACTCCCTGGTAGAGGAGCAGTCAGGATGCATCAGAAGCCAGTTTTCTCTTAAGTCTCCAGCACGGCCTTCCTTGCACAGGGCCCGCCACTGAGTGCCCGGCCTCCGTACTGCCCGGGCCGCCCCCGACCAGGCGCTCCTCAGGCGGCCGGAAACGAGAACCTGCGGCAGTCAGCTCAGCCTGGGCGACTGCAGATCTCTCCTTTCCAGTTTCCCAAAGGATTTTCACCTGAAAAGGCCACGACCACTCACATGGAAATGTTTCATATTCTATGCACCCCTCCCCCGTATATCTTACCTTTTCACATTCTATGTCAGGCGAGCAGCTCCAGGCAACCTTGAGCACAGCCGGGGTGTGGGGCCTGTCTGGCGTTACCCGCAGCTGAGGACAGAACACTCAGCTGTGTGTCTCCTGTCCGCACGCCGCCGTCGAGCTTCTCCCTCAGCGCCCCGTCCGCTCTCTGTGTCTTCCAGCAGCCGCCTGCAGCACATAATGGCCGAGATGATCTCCACGGAGAGGGAGTATGTTAGGTCCTTAGGATATGTCGTCGACAACTATTTTCCAGAAATGGAAAGAGTGGACCTCCCGCAGGACCTGCGAGGGAAGCGCAGCGTCATTTTTGGGAACTTGGAGAAGCTCTACAACTTCCACCGCCACCACTTCCTCACGGAGCTGGAGCGCTGCCGGCACTGCCCCCTGGCTGTGGGACATGTGTTCCTGAAACACGTAAGTCCCCCGCTTGTGATGGACGGAGGTGGCTTTGGCCCAGCTCACCCTGGGAGCACGGGGTCTGGAGTGCCCACCCACATGTCAGGCCATGGGAGTAGCATTGCAGGCTTAGGAAGTGTGTCCCCAGCAGCGCACTAAGACCTGTGAATATGCAGGCGCCCAGAAGACAAGAAGCCAACAGTGCCAGGCATTGTACTCTCAGTTCACCCTTGTTGCAGGCCACCTGGTGCTGGGGGCTTCATACACCATCACAGTTAATTCTACCGGCAGCCCCGCTTCCTCACCACTCGAGCCTCATTGGCCAAAAGGAACTTCCGAAATCAGTTTGTTTTCCTGCACTGGGAAGCCCACCTGGTCCCCTTACGATCCTCCTGCCCAAGGATCCCCTTCCAGACGGACCCCAGGAGCAGCTTGACAAGTTCTGCGAGAACCTGGCTGGGGTGCGCAGGCTGACCTGAGGAGAGCTGCCCTCTCTTTGCTAAGTCTCTCCTCAGCCATGCGCGTGGACTGTCTCCCTGTTGGGGTCTCTGATAAAATCAATTCACTCTGAAAAGAAGAGTCTTTCAACAAGTAGCTGCTAGGCACTGGGCACCCAGGTAGCTCTGCGCTGAAGGCAGGTGACACAATGGCCTCAGCGTTATTAAATATAAGTAACCACAGGAAAACACCGTGCATAACAGAAAGCCCACATTGGGTCTTTTCAGCTATTCTTAAAGGGTGCTTCAGCCATAAGGTGCAACTTGTATATTGCTTCATATTGACAATAATTGTGAGCATTTTAAATGTTTAGACAACTTTGGTTCTTTACCCTTGAAAATTTCAGCAGTCCCCCCGTGCCCCTTCCCAGCCTGCCCCGAGAGTGCCCCTTGCATCTCTTCTGCCAATCTTTGGAGTTAAGACCCATCCAGAACTCTGGCATCGCCCCCAGGGGCACCCGCCGTGCTGGGCATGTGAGGTGGCCCTGATGCAGCACTGTGTCCTTTCCTCGTGGCCACGGCGGGAGCTGTGCCGCAGGGCGGGGGCCGCAGCACAGCTTCTGACCAGAGTCCCCGCTCAGGTGCGTCGTGCCCTCCCCTTTGCAGGAAGAACAGTTTGGCATGTACGTGCTCTACAGCAAGAACAAGCCCCAGTCGGACGCCCTGCTCTGCAGCCATGGCCACGCCTTCTTCAAGGTCATCCCCCTGCCTGCGAGCCTGCCGCACCTCCCCCGGCCCGGCCCAAGCTGACCCTGTCCCCCGGCCCTTGCAGGACAAGCAGCGGGCACTGGGTGACAAGATGGACCTGGCCTCCTACCTGCTGAAGCCCGTGCAGCGCATGGGCAAGTACGCACTGCTGCTCCAGGACCTCGTCAGGGAGGCCAGACGCTGCCCCGCCCGCGAGCAGGAGCAGGGCGAGCTGAAGGCCGCCGAGGACATGCTCCGCTTCCAGCTGCGCCACGGCAATGATCTGCTGGCCATGGATGCTGTCCGCGGCTGCGACGTAAGCGCCCCAAGGCCCCCACAGGCTTTCGGGCTCAGGGCTTTGTGTTGGTCAAGGGGTGGGACATGCCTGGGGTCAGGAGCACAGAGCTCTTCTTTAGGAAATGTCCCTGAAGCTTACACCTGCAGAGACCCCCACCTGAAGGGGAGAGGGGAGCAGAGAGAAGCTCAGTGTCTGGCTTCGGAGCAACAGCTGTGGGGCGTGAGAGCAGGTGGGCTCTAAATGCCACACATCTGCTTCCCGGTGCTACTTCAAAACAACTGAACACATGAAAATTGTGCTGAGCCATTGTGCTTGGGGCCTGGCCTGCCAGCTTACAGGCTTCTCTCTGGTGAGGACCAAGGCCAGGCATCCACATCCCTGACATGGTGGTGTGGCAGGACTCCATGGGCAGGAAGAGGACACCCCCCTCTCAGGCAGGACCCCTTGTCCCTGATGGTCAGGCAGATGGCTATAGAATTTCTAGGTCACAGTGAAAATGCGGGCACCTTGCTAAGAGCCACATCAACAGTGTCAAATAACAGCAGAGCAACAAACTGCAGGGTCGTCACCGAGAACCGGCCGCCACTCAGACTCTCCCAGTGAGCTTGGCTGAGTGCTTGGGACGACTGCGATCCCCCCAGAGCTCTCAGGCATCACCGAGGACAGGGCCATGCACTGCGGGAAGGTGGTAAGGGGGATGTCCCCATGGTGGCTGTCAGTTGGGATCCGTCCGCAAGGAGCAGTAGCCCGGGCACAGGGACCGCAGCCCTGAGTATTGGCCCAGGTTGCAGCTCAGAGGGACCTCCACGGTGGGGGACAGCTTAGGTGTGGAATTCATAATGTGACTCCTGGGGCTGCCACGTGGGGCGTTTATACACAGGGATTGAGACTCAGGCACTTCAACTGAGGGGTTTCTGTTAAAACGAACAAAAGGACTATGAGGTGGAAAGTTAAGTAAAATTGAAAACAGAGGCTTTTACTGTGGCATCCACACAGATGAGCAGGAATGTGGGCACACGGGAAACTCACCCTGAGGGTTTTGCACCCGATTCCAATGTGGGGTTTTCCCCTACACATCGAGGCAACTCTTAGACACCTGCTGGATGTCCTGCAATTCAACTCACTTCTGGTATCTTCTACTCTCGGTGACATCAGTCCCCACAGGTTAGGGGCTCAGTCCCACAAGACTCCCCTGACCCCACTTCAGTTGCTAATTGAAGTCCAGGTTGTCACCTGTTCCTCTGACCAATCAGCTATAGGTGGGGGTTCGCACAACCCCCTCCTGGGTTCCATTAATTGGCAAGAGCAGCTCACAGAACTTGGAAACATCTCACTTGCTAGATCACCAACTTATTATAAAGGATACAATTCAGGAAGAGCCAGATGAAAGAGATAGATGCACAGGACGAGGTGTGGAGAAAGGGTGCGGAGCATCCCTGCATCTTCATGTGCTCACCAGCAGGAAGCGCTGCAAACCCGTCTTTTTGGGGACTTGTGGAGACCTCATTACATAGGTGTGATTGATTGGATCGTTGGCCTTAGGTGCTGACTCAGCCTCCAGCCCCTCCCCCTCAGGGGTCAGGGTGGGATCAGATCCAGCCCAGTGGTCCCTGAGGGTGGCCTCCTCCATCCACAGGTCAATTTGAAGGAGCAGGGGCAGCTGAGATGCCGGGATGAGTTCATCGTTTGCTGTGGAAGAAAGAAGTACCTGAGGCACGTCTTCCTTTTTGATGACCTCATTCTGTTTAGCAAGACCAGGAAGGTGGACGGAGGCTACGACATCTACACGTACAAGCAGTCCTTCAAGGTAATGCGCCTGCCTTGGGACTCATGCCTCTGGCATCAGGCCAGTCCCCTGCGCATGAGCAAGGACTGCATATTTGTTCTTTCCTGTGGTTCTTTGGCCAAATTTTGAAAATGTCAGACTCCCAAAGCATCGAGGCTTTCCGTGTGCTGGTTCAGTGGCTGGAAAACCATGTCTTCTCAGTCCCCTCATTTTGGATTTTGATAAAAGTGAACACCAGAGAGGCCCTACCCTCGGCAGGTCTTGGGTGGCCCTCCTGCCTCTGAAGGAGGCTCTAAAGGTACAGAGCTTCTGGGGCTCCTGGGAGGAGCCCGCACCATAACTGCCTGCCTGCCAGCACCAGGGAACACATCAGAGGTGTGGCGGTTGGGTGACCCCCCCCAGTGCCAGCCGGAGGTTACCACAGAGCCTTCTGGTCTAGTCCTCATTTCTCCAGTGGGGAGTCTGAGACCCCAAGAGGGAGCCAGTATGGATGGGGTGGAAACTGGATCTGCCCTGTCCCGCGCAGGCCCCCGACTCCGCCTCACCCACGCCATTTGGTGTCTGGGTGAAGCGGCCTCTAGCACTGAGGCACTGGGGTCAACGTGTCCGCCCAGAAGTGGTATGTTGTTCAGATAGCATCTCCCTGGTTCCTTCCCATGCTGTGGCTGCAGATGGCTGAAATCGGGATGACAGAGACCGTCGGGGACAGTGGTGTGAAGTTTGAGATCTGGTTCCGTAGGCGGCGGAAATCCCAGGAGTCCTACGTTCTCCAGGCGAGCTCCCCAGAGGTCAAGGCCATGTGGACTGACATGATAGGGAAGATCCTGTGGCAGCAGGCTCTGAGGAACAGAGGTGGGCAGAGAGGGCGCGAGGCCAGTTCCCCGCCCGGGGGCCTGTCCAAGGGGCCCAGGCCCGGCAGCCCCTGGGGCACCATTTCTAGGAAGTGCATGGATCTCGCCCATCAGCACGCAAACACGTGTTTCTCCTTAAAACAAATAGGAACAGGACTCTTGCCCCCGCACTGCAGCACTTCCAGGGAAGGGCTCACGCTCAGGCGCCCTGACCCCTTATGCCCATGCTGTCTGCCCTGCCCTGCTTGTCAGGGCCTCCTCAGTGACTCTCTGCTGGGCTGATGGCCAGCCTGTGGCCTCCCTGCAGGGGAGGGTCCCTCCTGCTGGGACCTCCACCCAGGTTTCTTTCTCCTTGCTGCCGCCCCTTTGGTCCCTCCTCTGCCCCAATTTAGTCACTGGGGCACCTCTCTCTGCACACACAAGGTGGCCATTATAAATGCCATCTTCACAGCGACCCCTCCAGCTGGCCTTCCCAGGGCAGCTTGGACCTGAGAAACCCTAAGGGCTCTACTGTCGAAACGGCCAAATACAATTTCCCCTCAGTGGCTATTCCCCGGCCAGAGCCTTGATATATCACAGAGATGCCCCACAGCCCCCCACTGCTGCCTCCTTTGAAGCCTAGACCACCCCTGCACACGTGTGAACATGCCTGTGTGCCTGTGTGCACATGCACACACACACGTGCTTGCACCACACGAGGCGGCTCTGCTCAGGGTGCCCAGTAGATCCCCAGTCTCCTAGGAATGGATCCAGCCCCTGTGAGGACGAGGAGGCCCTGTGGCCGGTTCCCCAGTCCCCTCTCCAGTCTCCTCTGCTCCTGCCCCTCCCTCTCCGTCTTCCCACTGACCGTAATTATTAGCTTTTGTTTTTGTTTTTGTTTTTTTTAGTTTTACCAAGTAATTCATCCTTAGACTCTCACCTTGCTTAGATCTCCTCTCAGTATTCAGGGACACACAGACACCTGCCAGTGTGTCCTTCTCATGGCCATGTGCCTCCTGGAGGCCTGTGTCCCCAGCTCCACGCTGGACCTGCTCAACTCCCTTCACCAGCAGACAGGGCCCTTGCCCTTCTTTGCCCATGTGGACACCCAGTTCTGGTCCCATGTCTTCTGAGAGAGGCCACTGTGAGGCCAGACCAGGTGCAGGTGCCAGGCTGGGGGCCCTAGCACCTCGGCCCCCCAGCATCACTCTGTGGAGCAGGGCCTGGCCCTGATGTGCTTCTGCTCTGGGCTGACGGTGTCAGGTGCAGAGCACCATCAAGGGCGGTATTAAACCCAAGGAGTCGCTTGGAAAAGTGTCCTACGTTCTTCTGTTTCAGAACTCAGAATGCGTGAAATGGTGTCTGTAGGGTTAGGCAGCAAACCATTTCTGGACGTCAAAGCCAGTGAAGCAGCCATAAATGATCGGGCTGTCAGTTACACTGTGAACGGAACAGGTACGGTGGCCACAGCCCTCTCCTCACTCTGCTCTGCCAACCGGGGCCCAGGCCCCAGCACTCAGCATGGTGGGCTGACTGCAGGTCGAGGAGCCTGGTCAGCCTTCCAGAGGGCCCTGTCTGGTTCTTGCATCTGGGCTGCACTTCTGGAGCAGAGGCCAGACCGCCTTGCTTTCTGTCCCCTTCCAGAGTCAAGAACCCAAGTGGCCATCGCTGTGCCCCCCCGTAACCACACCACGCCCTTCAAGAGACCGCACTCCACCATCTCCGACAGCAGCACCTCCTCCTCCAGCAGCCAGTCCTCTGCCACCCTGTATGTGTCTACCAGCCAAGCCCACTGCCCCTGGCCGTACGATGTCCACACCTGTATCGAGGAGGACGAGCTGGAGCAGGAGACGGGGAGCCAGACTCCGCTACGTAAGTGCAGTCGTGCGCCGTGGCTGCGCGCGCTCCAGTCTCTGACAGCCAGTGTGGGCGGGGGCCAGTTTATGTGTTCTTTTGTTTCACCTGATTTTGTATACTTCCAATGTTTTCAAACAAATGAGAGTTTTCTTTATTTAAAAAAAAAAAAAGCTTCCACTTCCACCCAAAACAGTGTAATGGGGAACAGATTTAAAACAAATGAACAACAACAACAACAACAAAAAGACAAAACAAAACCAGATGAAATATATGAAATGAGAGATTTCAAAGTACAGGACATCCAACAGCAGAGAACAGTGACCCTGAGAGGCGGGAAGATGAGGTCAGCCCCGCGGCTGCCCTGGTCTCTGCCTGAGCGTCCTGGGGCGGGTGTGGCGGACTCGCTGCCCGGAGAAGACCAAGGCGGCGGGGGCTTGCAGGGGCTGTGCAGCGTGAGGCCTCAGGAGTCTTGACAGAAGGGTCCTCTTCAGAATCCAGTGAAGTACGGGCCCGCACGGCATGGGAGTGGCCCCCCAAAGCTGGAGAACCTCTGGAAGGAGAACACTTTCCACAGTCACGTGGGCTCCTGTTCCCACCGGCCCCATGGGACACTTGTGATTCAAGGGTTGCTAGGTGAGTTCTTGGAGGTAGGAGAGAGCATTCAGCTGAACACTGTCCCTGACCCACCCACCAGGTCACCAAGCAAGACCTAAGAGGACCAGTTTCCAGGTAGCCTAACCACATCCCAGGATAAAGTTTGTGGAGATTTATAGAATTACAAAAGTGTCCAGCACCCAACAAGGTCAGTGCACATTGTGTGACATCCAATCAGAGCAGCAGGTAAGCAGAGGAGTAGAAAACATAAGCCATAATGAGAATCATCAATCAGGCAAAACCAGCCCGAAGCTGACATGGATGTTAGAATTGTCAGTCGTGGCCTTCAAACCATTGTTATAACTGTTCCTGATGTCTAAACATTTAAGTAATGATGTGGAAGATATGAAAACACCAAGACGGAACATACAGGGACAAAAACTGCAATATCTGAGGTGGAAACAACATCAGATAGGGTGACAGAAGAAAATGTTAGTTAATTCGAAGACACATCAGTAGAAAGTACCCAAAATGAAACAGAATCAGAAGAAGGAGGAGCACATTAGTGAGCTGTCAGACAACAAAGTCCGCTGATGTGAGGTTTGTGAACTAAGTGATATCACTTGAAGGAAAATCGTGATCCATTAGATTGTAAACCCCAACCTCTAAAATGAAACAAAGAGACAGAGCTGAGACACCAACAAAAGAGACCAAATGAAATTCTAAGAAAAAAGTCCAAAGAATGTAGAGAAACAGGAAGAGGGAACAAAGAACAGAGGACTGAGTGGTCCGAGGTGGACCCAGTGCTCACCGTGTCAGTGACACCAAACATACATGAGTGCCAGCAGCTTTTGGTGGATGACACATGTGTCCTCTCTGGCTGGGGTGTACACATGTCCGAAGTTGTCCATTTGTACCCCAGAGGCGTGCAGTTCATTGTGTCACTTACATCCCCATAAAGCAATGTTTTGCACACACTTCCATGTGGAGGAAGGGATGTGTCGGTGGAGTTCATGGTGGTTGGTTCTCTCATTCTGCATGTGGCGTGAGGACCGCAGGCCTCAGGTCCCTCAGGTCACTGAGGTCTCTCAGAGAAATCCATCCCACAGCCCAGGTTTGGCTCATCCTCAGGTCACACTACCTGAGACAAGCATCCTCCCAAGCCCAAAATATGCCATTGCCAACAGGACAACATCTGAGGGCTTTGTGACTGATGCCAAGGCACCTCTGTGCCCAGTTGAAGGTGTTGTACATAAGACCTGCTGGGGAGCCCAGGTGGCCAGGTGCTGCACACCTGATCAGAACAGGCAGCGGCCACCGTGGGACAGGCCACCGGAGCACAGTGGGGACACTGCTGTGTTGCCAGCCCAAAGCGACTGCACTCCCCTGGTGCACACTGCTGGCGCCAGGACCGCAGGTAGCTCGCATCTGGGCTGGAGCAGCCTCCAGTCAAGGCTGAGTCTGGAGACCAGGAGCCTGCGTGTGAGGACAAGGTGGAGGTGTATGTGCTGACGGCTCAGCTTGGCCATCCTCAGCTCAGTGCCCAAACAGCCCTCACGATCCCCTCAGAGGAGCACAGGGGAAAGCCGCCGGCCACCCACGCGGCACGGCCAAGAGCATGGGTCCCAGACGTGGAGAGGTACCCGGGCCTGCACCTAGTGGCCTCGGCTAGGTCCGGGTCTGGGGTGATACAGGAGGGCCCAACAGTCCTGCAGGGCAGATGGGGGTGGGGTGGGAGGGGTTAGGCCCCGTCAGTCCTGTTCCTGGTCGTTGTTTAAAGCACACGGCCCTTCTCTGGTCTCAGTTTCTGCTTCCCCTTTGACTTGCACGTCCAGTGGTCACGGAGCCGCCCAGCGTGAGCAGGAGGCCTCCTGCTGGTGAAGAGGTTGCCTGGGTGCCTCCCACCCTGATCTCCTGGCTACACTGGCTCTGCTCTGATTTCCAAAAAGCAGGTCAAGAAACACTTGTCCGTGAGCATACATGGTGTCTACCTTGCAGCCACACCATCCTGTTGGAAACTTGCGCCTGGAGCAGGATACACCCAGTCCTTGGCTGACAGGATGTGGGGCCCCTGAGTGTGGAAGGTGGAAGGGGGTGGCGCCCACCCTGAGGGACCAGCCCTAACTCAGCTCCTCTTCGCAGGGACTGAAAGCTCCGAGTCGTCCCAGTGCGTGTCGGGGGACAGCAGCCCTGGCCAACCCAGGCTCTCACGGCCCCTGCCCCCGGGGCTGTTCTCTGATGAAGGCCCCCAGGGAACGTCTCCCACTCTCCTCCGGAGGGACCCACAGCCACAGCTCGATGGAGGCCAGTCCACAACCGTGAGTGTCCCTTCTTCTGAGACCCCACGTGGGAGGCCTAAGTGCTTAGCGGGTAGTTAGTACCTGCCCGGGGCCACACAGACCCCGCCCTCTGGCCGGGGTCATTCTACATGTGAATCTGCTCCCAACCCACACCCCCAACACTGAGCACTTGGCAGGCCAGCTTGAAACCAAAGGCCTGGCTCCGTCCCTGGGCAGTTCCAAGTCACTTAGCAGTCACTTAGGGAGATTTAGGGCCTTCTCACTGCCTAGATTTTGCCGGCCACATGGAGGCCTGACCTGTACCGACCGGCGTTCACTGGTTCCAGGCTCAGCGCTGCCCCCACTCAAGGCCCCCGCAGTCCTGGGCGAAGGTGGCTGATGGTCAGCAGAGTCGTTTTCCAAACAGCCCGGCAAGGAGCAGGCTGGAGTCAGAGGATGTAGGGTTGAGGGTCAGGGCTCCACCTGGAGTCCAGCCCCTCCCTGGGACGTTCACAGGACCCTCAGTTCTGCCTTTCTGATGGGATCACATACCAGGCAAATCAGGGTTCCTCAACTTGATGCAAATGTGTATTTTTATGTTCAGAGGGTACCTGGGGCCCAGCCGGTTTTAGGAGGAGGCCCCAGACACTCCCCTGGATGTGCACTCAGAGACATCATCCCTGAAAGGGAGGGACTGAAGTGACCAAGGAGAGGGGCCCATCACACAGGAAACAGATCTTTTCTTCAGGGCGTGGCCGGGCCTGTGGGTTCAGCAGCCCTCACGCACCCTGGGGTCTTAAACATCACTCTGCAAGCCCAGCTCCAGCTCTGGGGAGATGCCCGCAGTCTGCCTCCTGGTGGCAGCAGAAGGGAAGGCCCAATTGGAAGGGTGTGCTGGGCGAAGAGCCAGGGAACAGGTCTCTAGTTCCCATGCCCTAGATCTCTTGTAAGGACCAGTGACACTGGTTCTGTAGTGATCACCCCCACCCTCCTTTTGTCAGAACGAAACCGCTCATGTCTTAGGCTTCTGGGCAGCAGTTTGAGAGACAGGCAAAACAATCTGTAAGTAATGGGCTTTCTCAGCTTCCCCAGTGTATGGGGGTTCTCGTCCACTGTAGTCCCTCAGGCGCTGGGCGCACTGCTGCCACCCAGGCTGCCTGTTGCAGATGCTTCCATACTGCGATGGCACAGCCGGCCATTAGCAACCGCGGGAGGGGCGCATTGGCCAGGCAGGGCTGCCCCCCTGTTCCCCCATCTCCCTCACTAATGTTTCGGGGGGTTGCTGCCTAAACCCCCTGGTAACCAGCACATTCAAGAGCCCAACCTTCCAGCCATTTCTGAATGGCTCAGACCTTTCTTGGACAGGAGGGCCAGGCCCCTCAGCCCCTGGTGCAGTTAGTCACCCCCACCCCGCCGCGAGGCCAGGCCAAGGCAGTGGAGACCACCCCCATCCACCCCCGCCTCTGGAATACCCAACAGAGTACCCCCTGTCGGGAGCAGCTCAAGGGAACCTGGAGCCCTCCCCTGCGAACAGGGCCTCCCCGACACCCACTCCCACCTGCCCGTGCCCTGTGGCGGCAGCTCGGCCAGTGATCATCCTCGGCTGAGGCTGTGCCTTGGCCGGGGCTGCCGCTCATGCTGTCCAGGATTCCGTGCGGGGATTCCCGGGCACGCCTCGAATCCAAGTTGCAGCAGGCACGTGGCACCGTGTGGGGGCTGCCGTCCTCAGTGGGAGCCACAGTTCGCTCATCAGGGTGTGGCGTCTGTGGCAGGTTCCTCAGGTATGAGCCCACTTCCTCACAGAGATCGCGAGGCCCAGACGGTCTCAGCGGGCAGTGGGGAGGCACGGAGGAACTCCAGGAGCCACCCTGGCCCGAGGTCCGTGCTCAGCTCCCAGAGAAGCAGCCCCGCCCGCCCACTCCCACCATCCCCGCTGCCTCCCGCAGCCTCCCTGCTCCCATCGCCCTCAGTGTACGTGTGGGTCCCAGAGCTAATTACAAATCTCCAGCTACCTGTGGATCCCTTGTGCCTGTGAAATAGGCTGTTTTCCACAAACTACATGTGAAATCATAAGTGACTTCAGTTCACATGAATGGCTGCTGGTGAGACACACACACACACACACACAGACACACTCATGTTCTAGGATCCGAATGGCAAGCGCGGACCTGACACATTTCAGGGCCAAAACCCTTTCACCCACGGATGCCCCGTGGTGCCGGCTGAGCGCTGCCAGTGGCCACTCCTGTCCGACCCCACCTGCCAGCTCACAGACTAGCGTCGCACCTGCCACAAGGGAGGTCAGCCTCGCAGAGGCTCTTGTTTAAGGTGCCCTGTCCTTGCCTGACCCCAAGTGCCTCCTAGAAGGAATGTGTGTCCACGAGCCAAGAGTGCCTTTCGGGCTGTGAGGACCCCTGCGGGGCCTCATGGACAAGCACTCGTGCTGGCACAGACCTGGGACCGAGGGGCCAGAGGGAGGAGGCCAGGGCATGTGAGTAACAGGCTCATTCTTTTGACAGCTCTGAGGTCTGGACAAGATGTGCCGGCTCCAGAGAGAACTTCAGGGAGAGTGCAAAAGAACCTCAGTCCAGACCTGTGCGTGACACTCACGCTGCGGGATTCCGACACAGCCGGCCCCCAGCCACGAGCTACTCGATCACACGCCCCTTGAGGCCTGAGGTCATCCCCATTATTCCTTCCCCTCCCCAGCCCTCCTACCACCTGGGCATGGCCAGGCCTCCCTTTCGTCCTCCTTGTACAGCTCCTCCTCCTCCGTTCATCCTGCGTGGACACCCTGCACCGGCCAGCCGCTCCCACCATGGTGGGAGCACGCGGACCCCTGCCCCCGTGCAGAGGCCCAGACACTCTTGAGCCTCAGAGCAGGGCAGGCCCTCTGGGACCGTGTTTCCCCACCTTCCAGGCAACTCGGGCCACGGATGGTGGGCCCCAGGTGGGCCCCACAGAAGCGCGTCCCAGACACACGGCAAGCATGATGGGAATCTCGGTTCTCTTTCCTTTTTAGCAAGTTTTATGTAGTCAGCGGAACAGAACACGAGCTAGGCTCAGGGGCCCCGGTCTCCACCTGTGAGCCTGGGGCGGGGCTACACCCTGCTTCCCAGGTAGGCGCCAGGCTGCGACGGGGCACAGCCGTTGGGCCTGAAGCCCTGAGGAGCCACAGAGCTGGGAGGTCGTGCCCGAGGCATTGCCTGAGAGGACCGCTGTCACCGGGTGGGTTGAATCAGAAGCAGGAGAGCCGGGGAGATGCCCAGCCTGTAACGAGCTTCCTGCTGCAGGCACCTCCCCCACGCCTCCCCGCAAGCACGTGGACCACTGAGACCAGGAGCAGTGGGGGCAGGGGCCACCTCTGTGACTTGCCAGCTGTGTAAACTGTTTTGCTACTTTTGTTAGTGCTGACTTGTCCCAAACTTTAGGAAGAGAAATAAATGGGATGTGTTTCTACCATGCGGTTGTGTGTCTCTGTAAGGTCCGTTATGTCCAAGGATGTCTCCTGCATATGTCACCTATGTCAGCTCCTGTGAGGGAGGGGGCACGGACGGGACCGCAAGGCTTCACCTTGGGGTCCACATCCACACCGAACGCCCACTGTAAAGCAGGCGAAGTCCCACTGCTTCACACCCGCACCTCCCCTGCCTGACTGTAGTGGGATCCCCCCTGGCAGCGGAGGCGCAGTGCGGCTCAGAGGGGGCAGCTGCCTGGCAGGACCCTGAGGGAGGGTCCGCCCTCCTCACACTCACATGACCACACCCCTCAGCACGTCCTTTCCTCAGACTTCCTTTCTCTGCCTCTCCCCCTCTTCTGGCTTTTTATCTCTCTCTGTATCTCTGCCCCAGCCATGATCCCCCAGACCGGTGCTTGTCCATGGGGTTAACTGCTCCAGCCCTGCCCCAAAGGATGGTGAGCGCCCGCGTGTGCGCGAAAGAGAAAGAGAGGAGGTGGGAGTGTTAGTTATTTAATAATCATTAAACAGCAATCAATGCCCAGGATCCGGAGGGAGGAAATGTTTCTCCACCCACCATAGTAACAAAAGGCAGAGTCACAAGAGAAAAGCAAACAGATTTATTTAACATAAGCAGTTCTCTAAATTGAGTGAAAAGTGATCGTGGGAAAGTAGAGGAAGATGGTGTACTTCCTGCGGGCTGTCTGCTGCTCCGAGTTCTGTGGCTCTCCGTCCCTCCTGGGGCAGGGAGGGTGGCTTTCACACGGAGCTTTAACTCCTGCTCTCAGAAGGAAACGGGGAGGCCAGCGCACCCGCCATTGCTCAAGTGCTTTTAGCTCAAAATAATCCCTATGCCAAAGTGGCCTATTTGGGACATGGTGTCCTGCCACCCTTCAGAGTGAGTAGTGGAACACCCTGTCGGGGAGGCATCACAGCTCCCGGAACCTCCCATCCAACCTGCGGCACCGCCTGCCTCCTGGGTCCTGTGGTCACAGACGAGGACAATGCCCGTGGCTGGACGCTGCGGGTCGGGGGCGGGGTTGGTGCTGAGCCCTGCCTCTCCCGGCTGCTGTCAGGCGAGCCCACAGGGAACCGTCTGTGTGGACGGAGCGGTGTCAACACCTCACGGGGCTGGCATTATTTGCCTTGTCTTGAAATCAGGAAACGGTTGTCAGAGGTGCCCGCCCCCATTCCTGGTACCAAGTCCCCATCCCCAGATGTAAGGCCAGGGCGGACTCCACCCCCGGGGCTGACCTTGTTCTCTGCTCCTGTGACTGTGGGACAGGCTCAGGGCTGGGACTGCCGTGCCCCGCCCGAGGAGGCCTCCCCTGCACCAGGTTACTGCAGCTCCCAACCACGGGCACCCCTGCGATGGGCAGGGCGGCAGTTTCCAGGGGCCCAGGCCCCCGTGAGCTAAGCGCTCAGCTCTGCTCCCACCAGCCAAGCTCCACTCAGACAAGCCAGACACTGCCAGACACCTCGCCCGGAGCCAAACAGGCACCCAGGACCAAAATAACCATCAGATGACCAGAGGGCTGGCCGGCCACCTCCCTCCCAAAGGCAAGCTGCTCACAGCAGCTGCGGTTAAAAATAGGGGAGAGGGCACATGTGTGTCTTTGGGAGAATCACAAGGGGAGAGCGCCGACCTGCCTTGGCCACCACAGGCAGGCATGATGAAGTCACTACGCTTTGCTTCTGCTGAGGCCCTGGTGTCCCACCCCCAGGTGGCCCTGCAAGGCCTGGACAGTGTATCCCACAACCTCTACCCACTTCTTTTCAAAGCCAGCTACTTGCTGGAGCGGGCGGAAGTGATCCGAGTTCTGCTGGAGCGATGGCCACTGGAGGAGTTCCGGCTGGGTGCCCTGCTGGGGCCGAGCGCAGACCACCCAGAAGACCTGCGGGACCGGGCCTGCAGGGCCTGCCTGGAGGCCTGCGTGAGGGGCCTGGCGGACCACGTGCTGCACAGCAGGGGCCAGCAGCGGCTGCAGTTGGCAGATCTCATGGGAGTCCGAGATGTGCAGGTGCAACAGTGCCCCTGTGGGAGGGCCCTGGGCAGGTGGGGCCGCACAGAGCTGCTGGCCAGGACCTGCTGTGAGCTGCAGGCATGTCCCCATGCAGCCCGGCGTTCCATAAAGGTCCTGGCTGATCTCTTTGTCACTGAGGGAAACTTCCAGGCTGTGGTGCAGGCCCTGGCACCCGCAGGCCCCGCCCCACTGCGCGTGCACTGCCTCTCCTTCCGGGCGGACAGCCTAGACCCCAGTCAGCTCCTGCAGGTGCTGTGTCTGGCCAGGCCAGGCGAGCTGCGCAAGCTGCAGGTGGTGCACAACGTGCGGCTGCACGCCGGCCACGTGCAGCAGCTGCTGGCCCAGGTGCAATTCCCCCGGCTGGCCTCACTCACCCTGCCTGCCAAGGCCTTTGACAGGCCCCCTGCCGGCACCCACACTGCAGAGGAGGAGGACCCCCTCCTCACCTCCATCGCCTGGGAGCTCAGCCAGATGACTCAGCTCACTGAGCTGAGTGTGGCTTTTTCCACACTGACAGGGAAGATCCAGAAACTGCTTGGGTGAGTCTGGGGTGACCAGAGGGAGGTGGCAGGGTGGGTGCAATGTCTGCTCACACCGCTCCTCCGGGTCAGGGCAACACGGGGCCCTCTCGGAGGCTAAGCTAAAGGTGTACCAAGGACCAGATAATGGGACCTTGTGGCTTACAAGAGGCTCAAAGCAGCAAGAGGGACCAGGCTATAGAACGGGGCATGTAGCCCTGGGGGACTGTTTTCAGTCAGTAAACAAAAGAGAAAATTACAGATTAACAAATCAGTAACAGGGAATTAACTGTATTATATTGTGTTAATGACTTGCTGTTGTGACAAACTACTCCAGGACTGGGGCTGGACACACAAACTTGCCTCAAGGTTGCCTCTGGCCGTTGGTGGGCTGCAGTCTCCCTGAAGGCTTGGCGGGGAGGGAAGTGGGCAATATGCTCCCAGGTTCACTCACCTGGCTGTGGGCAGGTGGCCTGGGCTTTGTGTCGCACAGGCTCTCCTCAAGCCTCTGGCTGCTCATCAGAGAGCCAGCGTGCCCAGTGGGGAAGCTGTGCTTGTAGCCTGCTCTCTAGAGAATGTCCTCACTTCTGCCCTCTCCTGGCGGTTAGGAGCCAGTCACCCACTCAAGGGTGGGAGCATCAGGAGGGCTGCCGGCTCACCTTTGGTGGCCATCTGCCACGAATATACTTATAAAAAACGTATAGAACATTGAGTTGCTCACTTCTTGAGCCAGGGAGTATGAAGGTTTCTTTCTTAGTTTAGGGAGCCCTTGGGTTACAGGTGTTTCTCTTTTATGCAAAGGTAACGCAGAGGTTGCCAGCCCAGACGGCCAAGGCCACCTCCCTTTCCTCCCCTGCAGGCTCCCTGGCTCTCCATCCCTGCTCTTCCATTCAGGGTCTGCCAAGTAGAGGAATGAGCGCTCCCTTCTTCTGTCCTCCACAGGACTGCAATCTCCTGCCGCGGAAAAGGGCGGCAGCCAAGCCCACGCACAAGTAAAACTCTGACAGGCGACTGGCTCTCTGGGACCTTCAGGACAGTCCTGCATTTGGCTGGCCAGGGTCCTCAACCTACATTTGCCTTTGTGCTGGCGGAATGTGTTCCACAGCCAGGAGGGCCCATCACGAGCCTGGCAGGGCTGTCTTGTCAACGCGACCCCTGAAATGCCTTCTGATTGCCCAGCCTACTCTGACCCTCCAATGGATGGAGCCCATGCTCCGTAATGTATTTCAGCTGGGCTGGTTGCTGAGCGTCTGTCTAAGGCCTCTGGAAGGTCCAGGCGTGGAGTGTGTTAGGGAAGGCACACTTCTGAGGTCACCTTTGAGACTGAGGAAGAGTGTCCTGCACAGTAGCCTGGAGAGGGAACCCCAGGTGCAAAAGGTCCAAGTTGGCGGTGTGGCAGGGCCAGGGGTCAGCAGGGTATGAGGAAAGGGGCTGGGGAAAGGAGAAAAGAGGAGAGGGCTTCAGACCCAGAAGTTCTGAGCAAGAAGGTGGCGTCATCAGTTCACATTTACAAGGGTTGCTCTGACCTCTTTGGTCCACACCACACACATGGATGGAGGGGCGAGGAGACCCCTGTAGGAGGTGTCAGGCCCCGAGACCATCTAGGTTTGGTGATTCCTCGGAGGGCTCAGCGCACAGTCATCCTCACAGCAGTGATTTATTATAGAAAAAGGACACGGCACAATCTACAAAGAAAAAGCATGTGGGACGAGATGAGGTGCTGGTAGGGGGTCAGGCAGGAGCTCCCAAGTCGTCTCCCCGTGGAATCCCTGGACGTGCTTCCTCCCTCTGCACCGTGGAGGTGCCATCTACTGGGGGGTCCCTTAGACACCTACGCCCAGAGTGTTTTCTGGGCATTGCTGGGGGACTCCATACCCCAGAAGGAAGCAGGGGCTTGGTATGAACCATGTTGCCTGTACAAACAATCTAGGGCCAGGGACCACCCATCAGTTGGGTGGTGGGACCCTCCCCAAATCCAAGCTCCAGGTGCAGGCCTCCCACAGTCGGTCGTCAGGCCTGCTCTGTTGACCCTTTTTCACACAGGAGGCCCTGCTGAGTCCACATAAGAGGCCTGGGGTGGGATCATCTGTGAGCAAGGCAGGTGGTGAGCAGAACTCAGACCTGGACTTGATGTGAGGGAGGATTGACTGGATTTCCTCGTGGGTGGATGTGGCATGAGAGAAACATTCACCCACGGAGCCCAGCAAGGACGCAGAGAGCACTGTCGGGTAGACAGCAACTACTCAGTTGTGCAGGTTTATGGGCAGACATCAGGTGCTCGGTGGAGACATAGTACAGGTACAGGAGGCAGTGGGGGAGGCAGCTCCAGCAGGAGGATGGGCAGGGGGAGAGAGCAAGACCCCGTACATCTCTTGTGATACCAGGTTCGGGCCCAGCGACCCGGGTGCAGGTAGACTAAGAATGTGCGCCTCTCAAAGGATCTGGGGTGCATGCTGTTCCAGACTTTGAGGACCCTGGGCCAACGCAGGGTTGTACCCTGGCTGTGTGTTTACTGATGTCAGGCCACCTGCATCACAAAAGGAGGGCCTTGTAGGTCTGAGGCGATGCTAGGCCTGGAACGGACAGCTCCAAGGCCCTTCCCAGCCCTAAAACTGTGTGGCTTTTGCTTTTGAATCAAACTTGCCTGTTTCATTTCCTGCCAGTTCACATGGATCTCACTGTCCTGCAACAAGCTTGTGAGCAGACATTCTCTAAAGGGACTGCTGCAGTCACTTCCTTACAGTCAACCCGCAAAGTGATGACAAAACAGATTCATCCTTTTAGGGGCCAGGACAGGGCCAGGCCTGCCTTCGTTAAAGTTAACTCTTCACTCCACGCAGCCATACCACTATCTCGAGGGTGCAGTTCGGCCTTTTTGACCCCAAAGCAGCCACAGGCAGCACATAGAAAAACAAGCGAGGCTGCGTCCCAGTAATGCTTAATTTATGGCCACTGAAATTCAAAACTTACATGATTTTCCCACATCACGCATTATGACTATTCTTTTGATTTGTTCAACTGTTTGAAAACGTCAGGACCATTTTAGCTCTCAGGCGGAACAGAGTCAGGCGGCTGGTGGGTTTGGCCCTCCAGTCAGGGACTGCCGACCCCTGAGACAGAATTCACCTCATTGCCCCCAGAGCTCCTCACTCGGACCACGTCTCACATCTGCTATTTTCCACCCTGCCCTGCAGCCCCCTAAGAACCCCGCTGCGAGTGCTGGACCTGGCCAACTGCTCCCTGAACCACGCGGATATGGCCTTCTTGGCAGACTGCACCCATGCCTCCCACCTGGAGGTGCTGGACCTCAGTGGGCACAGCCTGGTCCACCTTTTCCCTTCAACCTTCTTCAGGCTGCTGGGCAGGGCTGCCCAGACGCTGAGGGTCCTCACCCTGGAGGAGTGCAGCATCGAGGACCGCCACCTGAGCACACTGATCCTGGCCCTGAGCCCCTGCCACCAGCTCCAGGAGCTCCGCTTCCTGGGGAACCCCCTGTCTGCCTCTGCCCTGCGGCGCCTCTTCGTAGCTCTCTCTGAGCTCCCCAAGCTGCGGTGGGTGGAGTTCCCAGTGCCCAAGGACTGCTACCCTGAGGGTGCCGCCTACCCCCAGGACGAGCTGGCCATGTCCAGATTTGACCAGCAGAAATACAACACAATTGCCGAGGACCTGCGTGGGGTGCTCCTGCGGGCTGGCCGGGATGACATCCAGGTCTCCACACCAGTCTTTGGAAGCTTTGACCCAGATATTCAAGAGACAAGCAACGAACTTGGAACTTTCTTGCTGCAAGCTTTCAAGACTGCCCTAGAAAACTTTTCCAGGGCTCTGAAACAAATGGAGTAGTCCCTGCAACAGGCCACAGCAGGTGTTGCATTTCAGCCTCAGGTCGGCAGCTTGGGCTGAGCATTGGTGCCCTTGCCACTGTCACCCAAAGCATTTCTTAGTCAAAGTTGTACATGGTATCAGTTAGGCGCTCTAGGAGAGGAAGCCCTGCCTTCCAGTAGATGTGACATGAGGGCCACTTTAGCGTCAAAGCACTGCAGGCGTGCTGGAGCGGAAAATGCCCTGGGGTCCGCAGAAGCCACCGTCACAGTGGTGGGCACAAAGAGGCACCAGGAGACCGAGAATGGCTGTCCTGGTCGCGGCGCGTCTTGGGCTGCGTGTGAGGGGCAGGCTGGTAGTGGCAGCAAAGAGGAGGTGGGCGGGAGTTGGGGGGAGCAGGACATCAGGCTCGCATGAGCAGGGAAGAAATGAGAGAAAATGTCAGAGAACAACCAACTGGAAGAAGAGTGAGAGTGAAGAGCAGGGGAGCCACACACTGCCCCACCCCCCTTGGGTGTCTGCAGTGCTGACGCTTGCAAGGTGACATCTGTTTGAATATTTGCAAAGGCCGGTCTAGCACGGACAGTGGGCTTTGGTGATTAATGGCCCCTGTCCACTTTTGAGGAGGTGAGCAGTGCTCGGGCTCTGCCACTGCTGGCTGAGCCCGAGAGCACCAGGTTAAGGAACCAAAGGGCCTCCCGGGAGGGCGTCTGTCACGGCAGGGGCACCACAGTGCTAGCAGTGACCCCACGCCCTGCTGCCTGGCTTCTGCCCCCTTAGACTCCGAGGCCCGGGCAGGGCGCTCTGCTCTGACACAGGCAAGCGGCTCTGCCTGGTTGTCTCAGTCCTGGCTCTGGAGAGGACACAGATAGACTTGGTTTCCCCCAAGCCCTGATTGGTGCAAAGATGGTTATTAGGATGATTAAATACAAATAAAACATGAGTGTGTCTTATTCACGTGGTTTTAATTTCAGCGCTATTCAAAATTTTTAAAGGAACCTAAAGACAGAAGTTAGTACTTGGTCTGGCCAAGCCGTCCTCCCCGGTGCTCCGTGAGGGTTTGCCCTCTGGTCCACCTCCATGCTGCGTCCTCCCCAGGTGTGTCCCCTCCCCAGGTGCTCCCACTCCCCCCAGGTGTGTCCCATACCTTTCTCCCACAAATGAGTGGTGCCCTGGAGTTGCACCTCCAGAGTGAGAGCCCTCTCAGTGGTCTGCTGGCTGAGGGAGGCAGTAACCTTCCTTCCACTGAGCGGGCAAAGGAGGAGGGAAGTGGGCACGTGGAGCTTCCGGGCCAATCCGATCTGCTCTCTGCTTACCCACTGCACACCTTGGACGTATCACACAGGCAGTCTCTGCAATCCTATTTCCGGCACATGGAGTTTGCTATTGTAAGAAGCGCTGGGCAAGACAGTAGGCATGGGAACATTTTTTAATGATTTAATTCTAACTGTGAAGACAGAGTAGCTTCCACTCTTTGTGTCTGTGGAATTCTCCTGATGACAGACTTGGCCTCTGGGTGCCAGCTGGGTGGAACCCCAACACATGTATGGCTGAGCCTGGCAGCCATGGTACAGAAGGGCCCAAGGTGCTGCAGTGACCTGGGACCTGTGATTTGGGGTAGGAGCAGGTGCACAGATGTCTGCTAGTGGCACATGTCCCCTGTGCCCTGGGGCCCCGAGGGAACAACCCATTCTTATGAAACCCAAGGGGCTGGAAGGTTCAGTGGAGCCATGGTGAAGCCCATGGAGCAGCCTGAGCAGGACCGGTGCCTCTGCGCAGTCCTGCCGCCTGCCGTTGACTTGTCCCTGTGGGCCTGCTCAGCCCCGACCCCGAATGTGCCTCTTCCAGCCATGAAGGGTTTTCGCTGCGCCTGCCCAGCCCGTGACTTGTGGCTCTAACAATGTGGCAGCAGCTGTGACAGGTTTCTTCCAGGGTCCAGGAGCAGGAGATGTGGCCCCTGTGCAAAAGCAAACTGTGGGTGTAAGAAAATGAACTCAGAAATGTCTAATCACCGTGCTGTATACCTGAAACTAATACAATATTGTATGTCAACTGCAATTGGAAAATAAGTTTCAAAAGAAAACATACTCAGTATGGGGGGGGGGACAGACAGGCGAATCAAATGGGACTACCATGTTGGACACTTGAGGAACCATGACAGACACAGTAGGACCGTCACCCTATATACTGTGGGGACTACGGTGATGGACACTGGGGGACAATCTTCCTGGACTTGTGAGGACCACCATCTGGAACATGGGGACACCACCCTTGCTGCCCCTACATTCTTTGAACGGGATTAAGCATTGTTTTTCCTCTTGGAATTCAGCAGTGCTTCCTGTTCACCATTCTGACCAAGAGAGGGTGCTGATTCATCCTACCTTCACAACTCCTGTGCCTGATGGTTCATTCCAATTACATACTCGGGCAGCTCTTGAGTCTCCATTTTAAACCATTTCAGTTCAGTAATGTTTCACCATAATCTCACTTTATCCAGAACTCTTTTGTTACATCTGTGAAGCCATCAAATGCCACCACGTTGTGTGAACATTTCAAACCTCATTAACATCAATTTTAAAAAGACAGATATCACCCTGGCTGGTGTGGCTCAGTGGATTGAGTGCCAGCCTGTGAACCGAAAGGTCACTGGTTCAATTGCCAGTCAGGACACATGGCTGGGTCGCAGGCCTAGTCCCAAGTTGGTGGCGTGCAGGAGGCAACCATATATCTCTCACACATTGATGTTTTTCTCCCTCCCTTTCTCCCTCCCTCCCCCTCTCTCTAAAAAAGTAAATAAAATCTTAAAAAAAAAAAAGATGTTATCAAATTTACACTCAAGTTTGCTGATCGAAGGCAGCTGTGCCATGCAAATACAGTGTGGCCTAATTCATTTTTCTGTAGAAACTTGTCCTAATCTTACAATCTAAGTTGATTTATCTGAACATGTTTATTTAGCTGTTGAAAGAGGTGGGGCTCAGAGCATGTTGGACATTACAAAGTATGATGAAGATTAACGATTCTCCTTGAAAATCATTCACCTACTACATGGCTGGGTGTATTTTCCTCATTTTAAGGACAAAAACCAAGAGAAAAAGCATTAAGTAGTTTATCCAAGGACATGTAACAAATCAGCGGAGTAACAGGAACTAGAACATGCACCAGATTTAACTGAAGAAGTCACGTGCTCAGATCAATGGCGGCAATATAGCGGAAGGCGTTCTGAGCCTTTAGCTTTGGACCCCAGTAAGAAGGGCCCAGGGGCTCTGGGCAGAGCTGGGCAAAGGACCTGCAGCCATTTTAGGGAACTTACTGAGGCAGCTTCCTCATCTCAAAAATCATTCTGAAGACTTAAACATATAAGCATAAATTACGTAAGATTCAGTGTGCAGTATGTACTCCACAAAGAGTAGCTCTAATGATTATACTGTACAGTTAAACTGAAGTTTTCTGTAAGCCTAATGTTTCCAACAGTATGTCTCATTGCCACATTGACAGGCAAGCAGATGGGCAGGGAGACAGGATTTGAAACCAGGTGAATGGATCTCAACCCAGTCACTGCAAGGCCACTTACTGTCACATATTTGCACCTAAGTTACCAGCAGCTCTAGAGCCAAACTGCCTGGGTTCATACCAGCTCCAACATTACCGCCATGGTGGCTGGCCTTGAGCAGGTTCACTTTTGCTGACCTCGCTACCAGCTCCCATCAGCTGTAAAATGACGTACAGAAAAAGAGTTTACACAGCAGGCCTGGGACTGTGTTCCTCTGAAAAGTCTGCATACAAGGTTGGCACTTGGCTAGCATCTGGGGTCCTGTTTTTTGGGAGGGTTCCCACCACCTTTAACTAGTAGGAGTGGCTCACTGTTCCTAAACGATGTGCAAAAAGTTTGGACTGAACGCCTGCTTTCCTTCTGGGATTTTGGAATTTGCTGGGTACATGCCATGCCAGGCAGAGGGTACCTATGTGATCAGCCCTCAACAGAAACCCTGGGTGCTATCTCTATGGGGCATCCCTAGTTGCTAACATCTCACATGTGTCGCAGTTCATTGCTGGGGATCGTGTGCCCTGGGAGGGCACTCAGGGGCTGCGCCTGATCACCTTGCTTCACCCCGTGTGCCTTTTCTTTTGTATCCTTTCCACGTACTAAATCTTAGCTACGAGCACAACCCTGTGCTGAGTTGTCAAACCCGGAGGTGGTCTCGGGGACCCTGGACCCAGAGGGTAGTAACGTTAATTTACTGCATAGGATTGGGGCTGGGATTGCGAGTGACAAGCGTAAAGCATAGTAAAAGCTGATTCATATTAGCTTTGTGAAAAACAGGGCCACAAGTGCCTTCCTACCCATTAAGTTGTGGCAAAAATTGAGATAATCTACGTAAAAACATTTTCTAAAGAGTAAAAAATTACACACATAAGTGGTAGGTATCTTTGAAATTGCAGGCATCTTTTATTATATGTCATCAGTAATTAACAATATTATGTTTATTGAATACAGAAACAAGTCAAATTCCAAACACCCACTAGGGAATCGTGTGGATACAAGAAATCCCTTTTTCCCTTTGGTGGGAAAGATGTTTAAAACAATACAAAACCTCGATAATACTGCTACTTGCCTATTATCATTTGTTAGGCAGTTCTATGCATAACCTGACGGCAGGGAGTTCTATCCATTACCTGACAACCTCTAAATGTAATTTTAGAAGAAAAATAATTTGAGGAAAAGACAGGAGTTGTTTAGGTAGTGATAAACCCAGACAGGAAATTTCTTATAGTAAGGATCACTATTGTATTTTACTTCCTTAAAAAACAGTTGTACCCTAGAGCTAAGATACGAGGTAATACTCACTGCTTAATAAAATGCTGACAGCCTAAAAAATGCTTCTGGAAAAGAGCTTCCTTAACAGCTGCAGAGGATCAGGGAGGGAACCCTCTGTCTGTTGAGGGCTGCTGTTCCACCCAGAGGCTGGCAGACGGAGAGCACACTCTGTGCATGTGGCCACAACACAGGCAACCCAGGCAACAGGAAGAAGGAAAAAAGAAAACACTGGATAACCCAGAATGCCACAAAGACATTCTGACCTTGAGTCATTACAAGTAGTTTTATCTCATTCTTTTCTTACTCTTCTAGTATGGCTTTCTCTACTTTCTTAAACTTTTTCAGTTCGACAATCAGTTCCCAGTATTTGAGATACAGCCACATGAGTCTCCCATTTTGGCGTTTGTTGGTGTTCCAGACATCACCACAATAGGTATCATGATTAAATATGTCAGTCAAGCCAGCTGCCATTTCCAGGTCGGCAGCAACCGGGTCAGTGGATGCTCGGACCAGTAAGTTCTTCTCTATTTCCAGTCGCTTGCGGCGAGGGAGGACCAGGCTGCAGTAGATATTCTGTCTTTCTGAAAGAGCGCCTTCAAACTCTTTTAGCAGAAGCCGGGCTCTCCTCTGCCAGTCTTCTTCCTTTTCCAGGCAGCTCAGGTATGCATTTCTCAAGGGCTGCAACTGTCTCTTTTCTTGCATGACCTGAGCCCGTTCCTTTTCCAGAAGCTTCTTTTCTTCCACCAACTTGCGTCCCTGAGCGATAAGGGCTTCTCGATAACTAGTCGTTCTGTTTTGCTCCTTTTCAAGCTCCAGAGACAACTGAGCAACGGCACGTCGATTTTCTGAGATCATGTCGTGGTACTTGGATTCAAGATCCCGCTGGAAAGCAGCCGTTCTCTGACGGTATGCTTCTCTCTCTTTTTCTATTTCTTTTTGGGACTCTCTAGACCAAATCCAACCTGACATGAATAAATGGAGGGAGAAAAACACACATAATGAAAAGCCAAAGCTGAAGTTCTAGCGTCCTGAAAAAAACAAAACAAAACAACAACATAAAGCAGCTAAGACAGCATTTCAATCAACTCTCAGGTCCTGAGAGGTACAAAAAAGGTAACATTTTGTATGAAACCGTATACTACGGAACGTTTTAGATCCGAGAAGGGCTCCCGCAAGGACGAGCGTGACGGGCTGCGGCAGAGAGTGCCCTTTCAGCCTTCTGACGGGCCACGGCTAGGAAGACCCCACTGCTTCCTTGTGCTCTCAAACCTACTCCAGCCACCGTGCCCCACATATGATTGGCAAGATTTAAAAATTAATACAGGTTACTTGTTGAAGAAAATTAAGAGGGGTATGCTTCGAATATTGTTGGTCAGGTTATAGGAAATTCCAAAATGTGTTCAGCTTTGCCTGGCCATCACCGGTAACCAGTTGAGGTCCCAGATGCTTGCCTGTTGTGACAGGGGTACATAAAAGTAAGATGGCGCAAGAAGTGCAGCGTCAAGGGATGGTACCAATGGGCCAGAGGACAAGTGGGTGGCCTGGACTCCTACCGCCCCCAGAGAGAGAGGAGGCAGCACCACCCCCCTCTGTCAGAGCGCTGCCAGGAAGCCAGCCGAAAAAGGTCTGAATAAAAACCACTTTCATAACATAATACCCAAAATGCACGGGTTTCCACTTAAAACCACTCTACATACTAAGAATTGGGAAGATCTCAAATTGACTAAAAAAAGATAATCAGTAGATGCCACTGCTGAGATGACAGAGAGGTTAGTGTTGCCTGACAGAGTATTTAAGGCAGCCATCATAATAAAAGTCTAAGCACAGAAAGAGAGTTTCAGTAAAGAAATAGAAGACCAAAAGATGGATGTTTTAGAACTGAAAAACACAATAGCTGAAATAAAAATTAGGATGCCGAAATAGGTGTGAAGAGAGAGAACCCCGCCAAAGGGCTGAAACCCTCACTATATCCCTTATGAACAGACATGGCAGTCCTTAACAAAATATTAGCAAACATATTTCTCCAACATGTAAAGAGAATTATACAGCATAACCAAGTGGGGATTATTCCAAAAAAATGTAAGAGTGGTTCAATATTCAAACATCAATCAATGTAATCCAACATATTAGCAGGCTAAAGAACAATCAATCAAACAACCGTATCTATATGTACTTAGCCTATACCAAGCCTATAGCTACCATTGTACTTAATGGTGAAAAGGCTGAAAGCTTTTCCTGTAAGATCAGGAACCATTCCACAGAGTCCTGGAAGTCTCAGCCAGTGAAGAAAGCAAGAAAGGAAAGCAAAAGGCAAACAGATTTGAAAGGAAGAATAAGAACCCAAGTCTCAGATCTTATACAAAAGTTAACTCAAAGTGGATCATCCACTTTTTGTGTAAAATGTAAAACTAAAACTTCGGGAACTACATACGAGAGAATCTTCAAGATCTAGGGCTAAGCAAAGAATTCTCAGACTTGGCATGAAAAGCATGACCCATAAAAGGAAAAGTTGATTCAATTGGATTTCATCAAAATTAAAACTTTTGCTCTGTGAAATACTCCATTAAGAGAATGAAAAGAGAAACTGCAGACTGGGAGAAGATGTCTGCAAGCCAGAGAGCCAATAAAGCACTGGAATCAGGAATACGGTATAAACTCAAAAGTCAGCATTAAAAAACTATCCAATTGGGAGACGGCTGAAAGACGGGAACAGACATTTCATGGAGGAGGATACACTGTTGGCAAGTAAATAGTGAAAATATACTCCACACCACTAGCCATTAGGGAAATGCATATTAAAACCAGTGGGCTATCACTACACAGCTACAAGAATGGGTGAGGCAGAAAGAATAGTGACCACACCAAATGCTGGTGAGGATGCCCCCAAACTGGATCATTCATACACTGCTTGCGAGAACATAAAATGGTACAGCCACTCTGGAAAACATTTTGGTACTTAGAAAACTAAACATCAGCTCCCATGAGCCTAACAAGACTCAGTGGTTTTTTATGACTGAGTGATCTGCAGTGCCTGCTTCTCAGGGAGAGACTAAATCCAGCCCTAAGGCATTGCCCTTTAGAAGCTCACCAGCCTGCCACCTTGCAGAGTACTACTTAATACCTGGGAGGTCTACCTGTTGCCCGTGGCTGAGGTGATGAAGTAGGTGAGTGAATTGAAGATTTAAAATTACAATTACTAATGTAATAATTAGCTTTGACACTGGGAGAGGCCCTGGAGTGACTCATCTCCAGCTTTATAGCCTTTTATAATAACCTTTACTTTTGAAGTTCTTGTCCTGGGACTTTTGAAATGTTTTCTGTCCCTGAAAGGGTTGAGGAATATTTTTTTTTTCCCCTTGGTTGTCTTGCTTAGGTAATGTGATCAGAGAAGTCTTTTAATTGCATTCTTATAAGGATTCTAAAAAAAAAAAAAATGTGTAATTACATGGTTGAGAAACTATATTGCAACATAAAGGTGTTAACTAGACCCCTAGCATAGTCTAAAAGTAAAGGCAGATGTAAAAATAAAAGTAAAGGTTGAAAAACTCTACTCTTGTCAACCTCCACTTCCTCTAAGTAAATCCATCCACCTGAGTAATCCAGGCATGTAAAAAAAGCACTCTATGAAAAGTATCACAGCAAATAGAAGGTTGCTTTTGCTTGTCTTCCATTCCGTTATTCATTTTCTCATATTCTTAACAGCCAACCCAGAACCATGGGATATGCCAATACATAAAACCACCTCCTAAACATCAGAAAATTTATCACGTAGTGAGGGATGTATGCTAAGAGCTGGAATAATTACTGTTGAATGGTGACTGGTAACTTCCCCAAAGTGGGGCAAAGTTACTTCAAACCAGACAGAATTTCTAGCCAGGTTGAACAGGTTTCATGGATGAAGTTTCCCAAAGACTGATTCCTAAACATTAAGCAGACATCCACAGCTGGGTTTCTTTCAGGCCCATTTTATTCTCCCCTTCGGTCCTTGTAAGGGCAACTGAAACAGGGGTACCCCCTGCATAGTGAAGCCTAGGAAGGGAGATGCCAGTTATTAAAACCCACTCCATACAAAATGCTCCTAAATATCTTATTTAACCGTCACAACACATCAAGGTAATTCTGGTTTGCCACTTTCCATGGACAGGGAAACAGGCTCAGAGGGTAAAGTAATTTGCCCAAAACACACCATTTGGGATAAAACTCGGATGCACACTTGCATCTGTCAGGTCCCAAAGCCCAAGGTCTTTGGGCTCCACACTACCAGCCCAGAAAATGCAACTTTTAGGAAAACTGTGACTTACGAAAAGCAGCCAATCCCAGCATGGGGACCAGCAGGGCGTAATTCCATTTGCTTCCATCACCCCCGTCATCCCTGGAATTAGGCCGGATATTCCAATTTGGGGGATCATTTAAGTTATTCATGAAGATACACCTTGAGGTAAATAATAAAACCATTAGGAAAACCATACAAAAGGAATAAAATACATCTGTCACAATTTTATTATCTACATGGCTCATAGGAGTCCTTTTTCTCTCCCAAAAAATTTTATTCAGACTACATAAGTGCTGCACATCACTGAATCTTATGGGATCAAAAGAAGAAAACAAGGTCTCAGATAAAAGCAGCTCACAGTACAGTGATAAAGAGATGTCTCAATAACCAAAATAACAAGTAGAATGAGGGAAGTTCTTTAGTATAAAAATGCTTAAAACTATAGTGGTACATTAAGTCATATGAATAGGAAGGTGTCAAAACACTGGCCTCTTCAGGAAAGGTGCCAGGTATTGAGGGGCTGAGGCCCAGGGAGTGGAGGCTTCATCCCAGACACTGGTGATGGACGCCAGCCTACAGATCTTTCTGCCTGAAGCTCCTGCTTTATCTCCATCACCGGGCTGGGGTCTCATATTAATATGTGTTTACGACTTCACTAAGTGCCTACACGAGGCTGAGCATTTTAACAAAATACTGCATCTGTGTGACTGGCTGTGACAAATCATACAGGCTGATGACAAGAGAAATAGTAATGGGACACTTAAAGAAATTCAACTGAATTTTGAAAATCTTAATGGGTTTTTCAATAAATACTTGCTTAACACCTTAAAAACCTAAAATTCTAATCGGCAATAAAGAAGTGCCAAAAATATGGTTCAGGACTGCACGGTAAAGAGTTTGTGGTGACATTGGAATAAAAAAGTTAGTTATCTGAAAGTGCTAAACTGCGTGACTTTCAAAGGACATGTGGGAAAACGTGTTCAGTCCCTCCGGGCCTGTGGCATGAGGAAACATGTAATTCTAATAAAAGCATGGTAGTCCTACAAAAAGACACAGGTTAGGCCTTATTAGTAGCAAAAACTTGGCAACAATCTAAATGTCAATACAATGTGAATGGCCCTTGTAAACTTACTCAAAATAATTTTAAATTGTTGCACACAACTGCGCCTCAAAAAGATTTTAATAATCGAAAATGATGTGAAAAGCGGGATTATGATCACACTACTTCTGACTATTGCTACCATTATTCCCACGCCACTCCCTTCCACAAAAGATCTCAGGCATCTCACAACACAGGACGAAAACAGAAACACGATCTCGACCGCAGGTGACATCAGGCGAGGGGGTTAAGACACTCAAGCAAGGAAATCAACCGGACCCCGGCCAGGTCGTCAACCCGCTCTACCGCGGGGGCTTCCACACGAGGCGGGGACCCGGGCCTACCCTCGAACACAGATGTGCAGCACGCGGAGCGCGCCGACCCCGCAACCTACCGCTTGCTGGGAGGGCGGAACACAGCAACACAGTCGACAGCCGTCCGCGAGTCCTCTCTGCGCAAGTGCGGTACCTCCAAGCAAAAGCCCCCCTCCCCAAGTCGCGGCGAGATGCGCAGGCGCAGTCTCTCTTTCGGTTTTGTACCCGGGCGCGGCGTGGTGCGCAGGCGCAGTGTCCTCCCTCTTCAACACAGGGCGCCGCGAGGTGCGCAGGCGCGGCCCGGCGAACGGGCTTGGTAGTAGTGCACTGCAGAGGCTAGACATGTCGGGGGTCCGGGTTGTGTCGCAGCTTCTGCGGGCCAGGCGCTTGGCGCTGCACGGGGCGGTGAGTCGGCATCACGAGCGGGTCCGACCCGCTCTGGGCTGGGGCGGGCCTGGTGGGGGCCGAGATGGGGGCCGAAGGTCCCTGCAGGCCGCGCCAGACTTTTCTAAAGCCGGCCGGAGCCACGTCCTGGTGAAGGTCACGATACCGCGAGCCTCCTCGGGACTCTCCTCCACCCGGGGTGTGGATGCCCCGTTAGGCCAAGGTCTCCCGGCCTCGGCTCCCGGCACAGGAACGTTAAGAGGAGGCGGGTAACGGCTGTAGGTGCCCGGGGCCTCGAAATCCCAAAATGTCAGAACTGGGATGGAGGCAGAACCGTGACCGCACAGGCAGGCTGGGCGGGCCACACTGCCTATCGCCTACGGGGCTCTCCCGTCTGATCCCCGCCCGCAGCCCCGTGGTGGGGCGATGGGACGGCAGAGGGCAGGGTGGGTCTCGAGCCCGTGCCCCCGGCCTGGCTCTGTCCTTGCCACCCGAGGCGGGGTGAGGAAACACATGTCTGTCAACCGCACCTCAGCAAGCCTTACAGCTGTTTGCAAAACCGGGCCCCTTTTCGAGAAAGGATAGATTGTGTGTCCACACCGAGGCCTGGCAAATAAGTTTAGGTATTTCATTTTGGATTTTGTACTGTGTCCTTTGTGCACACTTTTAAAAGTCAGGCGAAGGATTTCAGCGCAATGACTGCAAAACCACACATTTGGGAGAAGAAGCGGTGACATTTCGTTTCCTGCGTTATCTGTGGAGACCGAAGTAGGCGGAGGATTAACTTTCCTGAGCTCTCCTTGTGGGGGTTTTGTGAAACGTACTCTCTACAAATAGTTCTTCAGAGTCGGTCTTTTACGGTCTCTGGAAACATACCAAAATATAGAGGGTTTAGTTATTTGGCTCTTTTAAATGAAGTTGTTCACCCACCTACTTAGTAATTTACAGCTTGAGAGTTCCTACAGGAACCAAGGCATTCAACAGTATTGACATTATACTTGCAGTTTTCTCCTTGAAACGTATGTACTAAAAATTACGATAAATGTGAGAGAGTTTAATCAGCCATCCCATCCCGTCAACACGGGACCGCATTTTAAATGCTGTAACGGGTTTACTGACCAGAGGGCCCCCCCGCCCCCGCCGCCACCCCCGGCTTTCCATGTTGGGCTCTAAGACGCAGTTAGGTAGAGAGTCCAAGTGATGTCAGGGGGTTGGTGGGGTATTTTTAGACAGCCAAGCATGAACAAACGTCAGAGTGCTTCCTACTTGTTAGGTGGAACGACATGGGTAACTGGTGGTGACTGGAAAAGGGTTAATGTGTCTTTCCTCAACCAGACTGGTGCCCAAACATTCCTTATACAGACTAAGACCCCCTCCAGCCTGTGGAACTCCCTTTACCCCCACCCACTCTTTGTCATTTTGTGAAAACCAAAGTTATCCCTTACCTAAGCTGGACTAGGATTCTGGCCTCTGGCTTGAGCTCATAGCCAAAAGTGAGGGTACGGTTCTAAGCGCAAGAGGTCAGAGTGTGTAAACCTTTGGCACTGACTTGATTGAAAGTGATCTCCGTTCAATCAGCTATTGGCTGCCAGCTCTTTACCTTCATTTCCTCCTTGAATCTCCTCCAGTGTCCTCTGTTTAGGTAGTTGTAAACGTGGTGGCAACGTAGAGACAGTAAAATTGAACAAGGTAGCCTGACAAAAGATGGTCTTAGGTTTCTAAAATCTTTTTATCTTGATGAAGATAGGTTTTCCTATGGAAATTAGTTTTGCCCTTAAGCAATATATTTATTGGAGATTAAGATCAAGAAAAAAAGCATCAATTTGACACAACAAAAAATTTATGATGCCAACTGAGAAATGTCCACAGAAAATAGGTGCTGAAGATAATTAGAATAAAACCCACAGAGATTTATCTCATTTTTATCTTTATCTCATGTTGTACAATTCTGTGGTGTTTCTAAGTCATTTTAATATTTATAACTGCTTTCAAGTTACAAAATTACCAAACCTAGTTTACCATTATTTCTTTTCCAATTGCCCTAATGCACTGACAGTTTGCAAATGTTCCAAATAGTTTAATGGAAAGGAAAAGTAAAACTGAGGACCTTAAATAGTTGTTGGTGAACCGATTGCTTCAGATGAATTTGTTACCAGATGGAGGAGGTTTGTTCTTGGGTTGCACTATTCAAAAACGAGACGTGGCTGTGTTACAGCAAGAAAACAGGACTCAGGGTTAGTGTCCAAACTAATGGGAGGCTTAGCCATTGCTTATAAACAGTTTGGTCAATTACATGTATATTTCTTCTTTGCAGTTGCTGCCTTTATCAGTTGGCTGAGTTCTTTCCTCACCCAGTTTCCTGCTGCATCTGCAAAATACTGTGCTATGTTTTAACATTTAGCAAGAAATAGCATTTAGAACTGTCCAAAACTTGAGACCCTTGTCCAATTTAATTTCTTTTCTTTGTATTGTTGTGAATGTTTTAATAGTGTGTCTGGAACTAAGTTGTTTTGCTTCTTGGCATAAGAGTGCAGTCGCATAGATTTGTGTTGTATGTGATGTTTTCCCTGGTTCACTTGAATACTAGTGGCTCGGTTTTGATATGTAACGATATTCACCTTAATTTGGAGTTCCAGAGATTCCCCTTGCCCCTCCCCCCGCCCCAGGGGACCATAGATATTAGAGAAATGACAGGATCTGGATCTAGTAGGCAGACCCAAACCCAGAGCTCAGGTACCCTGGATAGACTCAGTTTCTCTATGGAGTTAATGAGGATTCTGTGATGTAATGTGCGAAACCTTAGTGTGTGTGCGCATCTGAGACAGGGCCTGCAGCTTGCAGCCTGTATTATTATCTTGCCAGCTATATTTTAAGCATTCTGTTTTAAAAATCTTTAAATTTTTAATGAAAATAATTACACATAGTTGTAGAAAAGAAAAAAGTCAGTGAGTACAGAAGACCCTATAAATGAAGATGAGTAAGACCCTACTTTCTCCCAGACCTGTTCCCCATGGAATCAATTCTGAATTGTTTCTGGTATTGACCCCTGGTATTTGCCTCCATGTCTCTAGCTAATATGTGGGTACATTTTTATCCATTTTAGACATAGAGTTTCATTGGAAAGAATTTCATTTACTTAAACCATCCTACTTCCCACATTCTCAACCCTCCCAATATAGTTAAGCAACCACTTTCAGATCCTCTATTGGCTAATTTTGTAGTTGTATTGATTGTACTTACAAATGAGATTTTTGTTACGAGTCATGGGTGTATTCTGTTAGATGAGGATTCCCCACTTTGCTAGATCAAGGATGTAAACCTCTATCCTTCTCTTTTTTTCTCCCTTTTACCTCCTAATTCAGTCACCTGTACTTCTATGCTATTAAAAGGTCTGAGTGCCTTTTAGTTGTACTTTAGGTAGATTTCCTTATTCTTCATGTTGTCCTTGTAGACAGTGTTTGATGGTTTCTCTTAAAAAAAAAATTAGATTAGTAAATGATACAAAATTAGTTTTGTCTAAAGATAGAAATTGGATTACAATTGAGCTCTCCAAATTGTACAATCTTCCTCCCACTCCCTTCCAGTCACATTTAGATACAAAAGTTAGTGTTACTAACTTTTATTCAACATGAATATCCAAACAAGAAATTACAATTATTTAAGAAATCTAACTGTTACGTTTTAATTTGGTATTACAGAATGTACTGTTTTCATTGGTACTATTACTTATATTTATTTATATTGTACTTCACACAATTTTCAAGAATGATTGTATTTAAAATACCTTCAATGACAATTCTTTGTTAAAAATATCATTTTACCATTAAAAAGATTAAGTTGAAGCAGAAGAATATTTGTTCTTTTTAGTTCTTTTTAATTCATTTCCTGAAAGAAAGCACTAAATTGGTTATGTCAGTAAAAACAAGTGTGCTTGAAAATAAATTTGACATTTTAAGAATATCATTCTTATCAGTTCAGCTCTTTTTAAGAATTCAAGCAACTACTTTGTAATTGGAGATATTAAAATAAACTCAAATATTTGTGCCAGTCATCATTCGGTCTTAGAATTAGAAGGAGCTTTAAAGGTAGGAACCAGGTCTGACTTTTCCTCACAGGAGGTCAACTCACCGAGCCCGAGCCTGGCCTCAGTCCTTTCATCTTGCAGGGAAGTCAGTTTACTTTACAATGGCTCAGAGTTCACACTGTATTTTGCCAAATTCTCTTCCCTGTAATTCCCACTTGTTTGTCCTTCATGATAGTTTTTTTTAACCCCAGAATAAGTAATATCTCTTCAAATTGCAGAATAGTTGAAGGCATCTCTTATATCCCCTTTTGTCATTTGTTGATTGTACTTATTTCCTAAAACTGGTCTTTATGTAATTTCTAAGACTCACTGGTTTATTAGTAGTCTACTAAAATGCAGTCGTCAGAATGGAAAAACATATCCCCTAAGGTGGCCATTCTCAGTTTATGAAGAGCGTTGCCTCTCGTGCTGGGCTGTGATTTTATGAGTAGCCTTTTTCTTGGGCCCATGTTTGTAGGATGGGGCCGTTAAGCCGAGACTTGGAGAACTGTAGAGGTTCTCTAGGGGAAGGCCGGGGATAAGTGCCCAGGCAGAGGGAGTGGCACGGTGGTTAGGCAGGTGGTGGGGGGTGCGGCTGAAGCCAGGTGCAGAAGTGAGGAGTGGTGAAGCAGGCCTGTAAGCATCTCTGGACCTGGAATCCTGGTGTGTACAGTGAAGGGATAATGGCACTGGTACCTAAGTGTCACAACAAGCAGTAGAGCCTGTTCTAGAGCATTGATCTGATACAAGGGCCCTGTACCTTTCCCAA